TTTCCCCCTTTCTTCTGCCTATTCAAATCGCCCTTTTTAGATACAGGTCTGTTACGTATTGCGCCAGCTCACTTGTTAACCGGTGCATGATCAGTCTTATCGGACAGTCACGTGTTGTGTTGACTGTTGGAGCTTTCAGAAGAGTCCTGAAATACAGTGCTGTGGTCATGTTTCAGAGCAGCGTGCTTCACCTTTTCCTGGTCATGCTGATGATGATACAGTAGGAGAATGAGAAAAGACAAAACATCCATTCGGTATACTTTGACTTAAAGTTGTAACTCTGTGACAGGAATAATGGTATGATAGTGTATTTTTATAACATATGGAATAGCCAAAAGGGAGCACGTGTCTTGGGACAGGTTTGAAAACAGACACACGAAGACAAGGAGAGAAAAAACAAACTACGGAGTGTGATAATCCTTTTGAAGGCACCTGTCATCAGACAGGAGAGGTTTATGGGATTTGAAGCTTATCCGTTCTGCATCATCAACACGGAAGGCTCTGCAGTCTCACCTCGCTCCATCTGCCTCTCTGTCTCCCTCTCCCTCTCTCATCGCCTCTCCCCCACTGCCTCTCCCTTTCGCCCTCTGTCCATCTCCCAATCTCTGCCTCTGTCCAGCTCAAGTTCAAAAAGACTTTATTTGTGCATCAAGAATACCAAAGTGCTTTTAGTTACACAAATCAATTAAACACACCCACAGTATCGACAGGTTTTCAGTCTGTAACAGCGTGTCCTTTCCACTCCACCTCCCTCTATACAGCAGTTTGCACCCTCTCTCATTCTGCACCTGTCTCGTGCTGTCTCATGGTCACACAGGAACCTCTTGCTATTGGTCACACGCTTTTTACAGAAAGGGAAGCTTAGGCTCACTGAGTGACCTTGGGGTCTGTGTTACAGAATGCCCGTGCACAAATGTGAGGAGACACACACAGGACATGACAATGGGCATGCTCACAAACCACAGAAAGGGACACTGCAACTATGTTCCATTTTTGGACTTGGATTGATCACGCACTCACCAGCCTCCAGAAATTGAACATCTTTTATTTCTTCCTGGAATGTACATCCACATAATGAGCCACTGTACCATTTTGAGCTGAGCGAATCGACATTTCGCTGTGCTTAAGCGCCTCCTGTTACACTTCTGTTAGGTGAAAGAATACGAGGGAATGATGTTCTCTGGCCTAAGACGAGCACAAAGTGCACAAACAGCTGTAGCTGTGTGGGCAGACTGAGGTGGCAGCTGGGAAGCACAAACCAAAGTTGGTGAAAAAAGAACTTTCGAAAGTGGCTGTGGAGGTCGACAGCAAGAACGATTACAAGCATGGTTAAAAAACTATGCCAGCGTGACACTACCTCAAATACCATAGCCAAATCGGGGCAAGCTATTGACGTACTTGTCTGGGTTGTTTGAATGTTTTGAATTTTATGAGGAGTGGAAGAAGCCTCCTTAATGTGAGGTGTTCAGGATTCTTTGGAGGACTAAAGACGCCACTCAGATACGTTCTGTACTTCAGGCCTGAAAGGCAACCATTAGAATATACAAACATCGAGTTCCTGAACAATCAGATTATATAGCCATTCCCTCAAGTATTCTGTAACTGTCTATGTTAGCATATATAATGCCAATGCACTGTTTTAACAAAGACATTTTGAAAAATCGGTGAGTCTAGTTTAACTATATATATATATCATTAATATGCCAGGAATTAACTTCTGGCTATCTACAGTCCCTAAATTATTTACAATACAGCAAGCAAATCAGAATCTTGACCCCATGTGCAGATTGCAGACCTGATACCTGAAGGGGGGTTCCTACCCTAAGGAATCCTGCTGACACAGGAAGTAGTGGGTAGCTGCTTTGCAATGATTTCTGCAACTGTAAAAGTCTTTTATTTCAATAGTGATATTAAAAGCTTTTTTATTAATCTACAGTAAGAACCGAGGAGTGACAAGTGTTTTTCTGTGGTGTTCTTAAAGTATTTTGAGAAGTGGCAAGGCTCCCTTTAGCCCCACTCGTGTCGAGAGAGCCTCTTTCTCCGGCGTACAGCTTTGTGGCCGGATGTTTCCACAGGAAGTTGTAACGCCTGAAACAGGAAGTGGTTTGTGCAGCGCTCAGGGCACACTTACACGGCTGCAAAAGGCTTTTTGGTCGCTTTTTCTGAAGAGGCTGCTTTATTTAAACATGAAGAATCAAATCCAGAACAGAAACATTCCTCCCCACCTGCCACCAAATAACGGCTAAAGAGTTTCATACTGCATTTTCTGCATACATGAATAAAATGAGGACAGCAAATACTGAATCTGAAATATGCTTTTAAACATTGGCTTTAAAGATCTCATTTTTATTTAGAAGCATTTTGTCTCCACCTCTGTGATTACACACTTGAAAACAATGAAGGATGTTCTATTCTGCTTTTGACAGCCAATTAATTTAATTGTTGTATTCTTTGTTATTAATTTTATAATTTTTTAAAGAAAACATTTTGACCGAAGTGTTAAGGAGTATTTAAAGTTAAAGTTTCCAGTAAGTTCTTAATTTTTGTTTGTTACTTGATTAATGTCCCTTTATCCGTGTTTTAGATTACTGTAGAAATAATCACTTTCCTATTTAATACCCACACTCTGGAAAACTTGGATGGTCAGGTTTTTAAGTCTTGGTGTGTGGCTGTGAATCTCATACTGCATAGTGAGAATGAGATTTTGCAACAAGCCCAGCGTTAGGTATGTGCAAGACTGGATGGTCTGACTTCAAAATACTTCAAAGCCTACTAGTTTGGCTGTAGCAGTATTGTCTTTTAGACATCGGCTTAGAAATATCTGAATGTGAGTTACCGCATGTTAAATGCATTGGGCTGCTTTTTGAAGCGGGTGTTGTGTTATTTCTCCCGCTCACTGCGTGCGCCTGTGTTGGCAGCCCTGTGCTCAGTCCACTCGTAGTCTCAGTCCATCACGTAGTGCCCATGACCTGAAGGGGTTGTCACTGCGGGGCGGGCTCTTCATCACTTTGCTCCGGCTCAGTGTTGTGGTCCATTTAGGACGAATACCCTAAGAAACACTAATGGGAACGCAGGGGCCTGAAAGCATCCCTTGTAACTCCTATCCATCAACATCTTCACACGACAGGTCATTCAGGAATGCGGGGAAGGAGCTGAGCTTAATGGTGAGGATTTCTCTGTATGAAGAAATTGTGAACAGGCACACCTTTCCACACATTGTCAATCTACAGAGTGAACTCCAGCGTTTTGCACAGTGTTGACTGAGTTTCCTTAGCAATAAGGGTTAGTCTCTCGGCAGGTGGTAAGCAGGGCTTGTTGTCTAGCAGTGCACTTCTGTGTACTAGTCTCATGTTTCTCTTCTGCTTCAGTGTTGCTTACTGACTAAGCCTCCCACTAGGTGACTGTATTTAATGAGCAACCTCTTCAACAGTAGCTGAGTTTTTTTTTTTTTTGGAATTGCTCGTTTTGCTTTTGCTTTCTTATTCGGTGCACAAAGTGCTAAAATAAAACTGCTTTTGCACAGTACAACGCCAAGACAGACAGACTAGTGCCCCCTGGCTGACGGTAACCGTTTCCTATTTTCATTCTTAATTCCTGCGATGAGATACTATTATTTCTTTGGAGTGCAAGGGCCTACAACTTTTATTCATTTGTTTGAATGTTGAACTGTTACAACTTCCCTTCTGTAGCTGGTCATGCAATGAAACATTGGTTACTGACACTTTGGGTCTTGTTCAGTTAGGTAAAGTTGTATGCTTCCAAGTTTCTGGTTTGCAGCCAGAGACTGTGAAAACCACAGAGCCCAGAAACAGTTGGTTTTTTTTTTGCTCTTCCTGTACAAGACCACACCTGCCAATTGCTTATGTTCTTAAGCAAACACAACAGATATTCAGATAAGCTGTGATCAGAATGCTTTGGCCTGGAGTTTAAGGTTAAAGGGTTAATTAACGGCTTGTTGTCATAACCAGAGACAGAGGAAGCAGAGCTGTTTGAGGTGACTTGATTGTTCAGAATTAGGTCTAGCAAAAGGGGTTAGCAATTTCACAAAGGGCCGTAGGTTGATTGTTGTGTGTGGGCAGGTGTCCGATTTTCTGCAATCAAGTCAAAATTACTACATGACTACGTTTAATAAAAAATATTTTTTTCAGTCCATTACACCTAACAGACAAACAATCTGAAAAGAAAATGTGAAAAGAATTTCTAGTCTCATTTGTCTGGAAAATTAGTTCATTTTCCTGTGAGCTCAGTTGGTGTCATTCTTTTCCTCTTTCCGGAAACACCTTGATGGTGAGCAGAAGACTTGGGGCTTATTTCAGGATGTATTGAACTCCACTTTGGATATTTCTTTCTTCAAGAAATTAGAGTAGTAGCTGATTATAATATTGATGATATTAAGTTAAAGTCATTAGAATTGAGTCAATAATATAATGAACTTTCCAGTGAGTGAAGGGGCACTGTGCTCTCTGTCCATCCTTATCAGTGAAACACCTGTTGCCAAATACAAATGCAGCTTATTAATGGTTTTATTGGGGGTCTAATTAGGAAACAACATAGAGCTCAATTATGAAAATGGCTAGGCAGGCTGCCAAAGAAGTAAAAAGGCTGTAATGTGGAACTGAATGTGTAGTACACTCGCCTCTTATATCCGGGGGCTATGGTCTTGGAAGTAACAGTGCAACGTATACTGTACATACATGCAGTTGTCACTGGAGAAAAACCCAGAATACTATTAAAGCTGTTTACTATTAACCCCCCCTCCTAAACACAGGGGAATTTCTCAGTTTCATTAGCATGCATGAGCAGCAGGCTGAGAACAGATGCTGCTGTGTTTGTGTCTGCTCCCTTTTGGAGCTTAGCGTTCGGCCACGTCCACTGACCCCTGCTCCTGTTACTGTGGACGATTTCGGTATCTCAGCATTCGGCTGTTGGGCTGTGCCACCGGGCCGTGCTGCTACAGGCCTTCGTTCTACACTCACCTCCCTGTCTCTGTTGTTGTGCAGACGACGTGCTGAGAAAGGATGCTGGGGAGTGTGTGATCTGCCTGGAGGAGCTCCAGCAAGGAGATACAATAGCCAGATTGCCCTGTCTCTGCATTTACCATAAAAGGTAGGAAATGGTTGCTGTGCCCTGTTCCGTCTTTCACCGTCAACACTCTTTCTCTCCTTTACAGGTTTCTTCCATCCTGGCCTGCATGTCAGATCACTCACTGGCCAGATTATTAGGAACCCCCAGATTCTGAACATCTGTGGTAGGCACTGGTAGGATCGAGGGCCATGAGTTTCCCTTCCATCACCACATCTCAGCCCCGCGGAGAAGGGGTGGAAATGTGGAACCGGTGGAGCATGCAGATCAGGCTCTCTCACCATTACATTTCGGGATTCCTAATATTCTGACCTTTGGTGTCCCTGTCCAGAGCTATTAGGCATGCGAGGGCTGCAGAAAATGTTAGGACAGTGCTGCATTAACTTTTTACAAAGAACTTGGGGTCCAAGAGGGCCAGAGGGTACTAATTTATACTAGCTGCACCTCTCTGGGCAAATGCTTGTGTTTGTGTTCTTACATTAAGCTTGTGCGGAGGCGGCAGTGTGGAGGGTTTGATTATTAATCATCTTGGACCCAGCCGTCTGTGGCCAGGATTCTTCTGGCTTCACTCCAGCCAAGTTAACACTCCTAAAGAAAACCTCTGGCTTGTTAGCACTTCTTTCTAGACACCTTTTCTGACTTTTTTTATAATCTGCGCACTGCAGGATGGTGACTCACAGTATCGGAGCACACAGCTGGAGCTCTTTCCAGATTTGGTAACTCGTTCTGAAATACCTGCTGCACCTGAGCTTCACGGTCTTCATTGTCATTTCTTGGTATCCAGAAATTCTACTCGGCGAGAGAAATCTGTTAATATACGGGGATTCGAGCTGTCGGATTATGTTTCCATCACGCTGTAATTTTAAGCCCTTTCCTGCAGCAAAGTTTTTAAAAATGTAAAAAAAATAACATTTTAGAAAGTTTATTGCCTCCAGCTAACTTTTGACCATTAATTTGAGGCTCTTAAAATCAGTTTTTTGTGTGTCTCGTTCTTTATCACCCGGCGGTCGTTAGGGATTTAGCTGACGATCTGCCGCTTGGCTTCTGTCCACCCCTGGCTGCCCCACTGAGATGGAGGTTCGTCTGCCAGGAGCCGCTGACTGACTGGTTTTCTGCCAGGGCAGTAGTGACAGACTTGTGTCCTGCAAGAGCCTCTCAGATCCCGCTGGCTCTGTTCCCCGGGAGCTTTCAGCCAGTCCGCCTTGTCACTCTCCAAGCCGGCTCATCGATTGGCGCCGCTTGACGAGCAAATCAAGGGGAGAGCATAGAAACTCAGGCCAGCTGAGAAATTGACCCTGCCTTCAAGACTGATCCTGTAAAGCTACGCAGGGACGAGCTTAGGTCAGCGTATGGAAATAGAGGACCTGTGTTGTAAGCTCACCTAGGGGCAGTGGGAAGAGACATCACAGTTAACATGCCCCAAACCCACATTATAGTTAATGTGTTTTATCCTCTGTCAGATGACATCAGAATATGAGCAGTGTAATGGGAGAAAAGCCTCTTAGTCCCATCTGAGCAGCTAACATTGCATATCCCTGCATAGCTCCTGGAGCATTGCTGTGTCTTCTGACGTCTGTTCCACCTGAGCTCAAAGGTACTTAATAGTTCTAATTTTCTGATTCACTAAGGTACATTTGCGCTCTCCCCCGTAGGCCTCAAAATGTTTGGAGGATCATGTTTTTTTTATTCTAGTGCAAATTTTTCAGACATCAGCTGTGAGAAAGCTTGAGGAAAACATTTGAAAATGTCAGAATGAGCAAGAAATTAGATTAAGGTTCTGTAGCTGATAGCCCCAGCTGGAAGAAAAGTCACAAGGCTCTGAAAGATTTTCCTAGGCTTTTCCCATGGTTAATTTCCATGTTAACTGAGTGTAACAGTTCTCAGTGTACGATGATGTGATGATGTCGCTTCCCAAGTTTCCAAAGAGTGTTCAAATCTCCCTCACCCAAAAGCCTGGCCTTTTGGCATAGAGGGCTTCTGTGCTGCTTGTTGGGTCTGTGCAGCTCAGGCTCTGGATAGGAGATTGAATCAAGACTCAGACTACACTCTTCGTCCGTGGTTTTCTGCTCATCGCCATGTGCTGCCAGCGAGAGCAGTAAGCAACAGCTGCTGCGCGTGTCGAAGGGAGTCTTAACTGAGAACTTTTCCAACCAATGAAAACGGTCACATTTCATGATTTAAGTATTCTGTTTTTTCCTATTCTCCTTTTCTGAAGACTTTCCTCCACCCTCTTCCTCAGTGACTGACCCGATGCCAACCATTACAAGCAGTCAAGTCTCTTCTCAAAAAGACTTTCTTCCCCATCAGTAATCACTCCCCTCCCGATTATCTTTGTGTGACATTCAGGGACCTAGACCAGCTGAATGGTAGTCCTGATTGGGATGTACTCTGGGATACTACTCGCCAATTTTCTCGAAAAAAGCAGCACACCAGCTAATCTATTTTAAACTTGCACGCAGAAGGTAAACGATCTATGTGTCACAGATGTCTTCAGGGGGTAACCATTACCTTACCTACACACTCTAAGAGTGCCCTGTAATTCAGTGCTTTTAGCTTTATATGACTTGTACTTTTGAAGATCACTGATGGTACTGTGCTCTGAGCCCTCAATGTCATTCTCATTGATGATTCCCAGGTTATACAAATCTTCAGGTACAACCTTTTTGTGTTTGTGGGTCTCACAGCAGCACATAACTGTCAGACTGTTGCTTGCGACTGGGATACTCTTAAACTGTTCTTGGATGCATTGACAAGTTGCTAGTACACGAACAGCTCTTTGTCAAATCAGCTTCCCTCTCTCACCTTTTCTGTCTTTTGAGCTCCCATTTTGTATGTTTTTATCATGTTTGTTAATTACTGGCAGTTATAGGTTTCAAAAGGGAATAAAATAGTGCAGCTTTTCCACATGTTTTCTTAAACTAAGGCAACGGCACTGGAAAGTAAATTAGAGAACCTGAAACAGACATCATAACTGAAGCAAAGACACCAATGGAAACCTGACATGTTCTGTCACAACAGGAGCAAAACAAAAACAACAACAAAGATTATTCCTGAAGTAAATTAACAGAGTTTCTCAACCTTGTCTGTACCGGAGACCAGCGTCCCAGGTCCTCTTTCTTTGGGGGCTGCTTGGGCTAAATAGAGAACTATAGCAAGGGCACAAATCAGTCAGTAATGTCACTGGTCAGGTGAAGATTTCCAGCTTAAATGTAAAACAGTGTTGGTTGTATTATGTTGATTTGCTGCAAAATGAACCTACTGTAACTTAAAAAAAAATATTTCAAAAAATGAAATAAAAAACTGAAAATGAGGAAAACAGGACTGTGTAAGTTTAGATTTGGACTTTCAATTTGTAGTTTTGTTTTTGAATTATCTTTTTAAACTGAATAAAAAACTGAAAAAGGAAAATAAGACTATAACTTTAGCAGTTTATTTCTGTACTGTCATAAATGTCTCACATTAGCCCAAACAGTTTATTAGATTTTGTTTTTCTATAAGAATCAGATAACTATACCATAACAAAACCAGTAAGCATAACAAGTGCCAGTAAAATATCTGACACAGTGGAAATGTTTCTCGCATGTACAGTATTTCTTCAATAGAACCTCCTGGCATTCTAATGCTTTAACCCAGCTGTGTGTTCTCCTGCTCGGAGTTCCCTGTATTATTCATTACTGGGACATATTACTGGGAGGTGTTGCTTTCATGTAAAGTCCTCAGCTACCCATGTGGGGGTGAAGGCCGATGAGTGGGGGTCACAGATGCCAGCGTTGATGCCCTTCGCTGGGTAGCGTGTCCCATTGTGCCAAAGTCTTGCCCTTGGCAATAATTGTCCTGCTCTGGCATAGAAGGCACTGAAGGCACTTCTCTCCCTGTCCTGCAAAGTCAGGATGTCTCCATGAATGAAAATCACCTGCTTTGTATTGTAGTCACTTGACTCACTGTCCTCTCTCGACCTCTCTCCATCTCCAGCTGTATAGACTCCTGGTTTGAAATAAACCGGTCCTGCCCAGAACACCCTTCTGACTGACCGCAGGCGTTCTCCACCCCCTACAGTACTGTTACAGGTTTGTTATCATTCAGACATCATTGTTTCTGTAAGACCTCACAAATCCTTCTCACTTAGTACTGTGAGCACCCAATTCAAAGCTTATAAACACAGATGACTGACTGAAAAATGCCTGGCAGATGACATTTAATGTACAGTAGGTAAGTGCAAGGTTTTACATCCTTTACAAATATGTGCTAGAAGGGGTTGCTTACAGTATGTGAAAGGTGCATTTTCATAGTGGTTTTCATGAGAGTGGGAGCCCAAAATCTTGCCCGGCCCGGAGCTGTGAAGGGCTGAGCAGCAGGATTCACTTTGTGCAATTCAGTAGGCAAATCGCTGATCAGCGTGAGATTCCCCGAGTCTGGTTCAATAGCACTGAGCGATGGCTGGTTTTATCAGTCAGCCTCAGACTTGTTGTGCTAAGAGAGCGCATTACATGCATCCTGTCCATAGCCTTTACGAATGCTCCAAGCCCATACAGAATAGATAAAAAAATGTCTGCAAAACTGCAAACATCTGCCAAAGTGTCATGGCTTTAAAAAATAGCTGTCACAACATGGTAACATACTACTGCAGTTATTGCAGAACGGGCCCTCTGGTGGAAGCATACGGTAATGCAGGTTTCTGCTCTATGGCAATAAAGTGAGTCCTAAGACATTTCAGGTGAATAATGAAATGTAGTGCTGATTTTAGATTTAGACCAACGGGCAACAGTGGAGAAGAATAACATGCTCATTCAGTTGGGGGAATGATTCTGAATGCCGTGTACGTGAGTGTGTACAAGGGAGATGGCGAATCCTGATATGTTGTCTCTTTTATGTCATTCCCAGGGCACTTTATGGACTTGGCCTAAACGTACACATACCTGGACATCTGGACACTGAAATAACCAAAAAAAAAAAAGAGAAACAAAACCAAACATAAATCAATCAAACCAACATCTTAACCTCCTAACTAGGCCTCTGTCCTGCGATTCCCCCCCCCAGCCCTGTTCTCCCACAAACCCAACTAGTTCTGCCTCTGGAGAAGCAATTGAAGAAGAATGTTCTGGCTGCACTCCCGTCTCTGCCCCTCTCTGTCTTTGTGATGCCCAGGAAAGAGACTTGAGGCGAACAGGCCCTCACCTGGACGCTCGGCTCCAGCCGGATCCCAGCTGTCCTGCCCAGACGGATCTTGCTGTGTTTTTGTCTTGTCTGTGTGTAGGTGCGACGGGGTGGGGGGGGGGGACAGTTATGCACCTGAAGGTGAGAGGGGGTTACCAGGGGTGGAGGGGAAAGGGGAGGGCGGGGGAAGTGTCGCATGACAAAAGAGTCACAATTCCTATTCCTAGTCCCATTTTTAGGGAGCGTTTGAACTCTGGACTTTGAAAACAAGAGGAACAAGGAAACCTGCTCGTGCCGGGAGGGGATTTCTTTGGCAGTGCAGTTTGTCGGTCTGTCTTTGAAATGTTTACAGATTTTTCTTTTTTTTTTTTTCTGTGTGCGTGCGCGTGCGTGTTCTTTTTTTTTCCGCTAATGTTTACAATTTATTAAATTGAAAGATGAAACAGTCAAGCACTTGTTTTTATTTCAAGGCACGCTGTCGGGAGGGGAATGTTGCCGAAGGAGACCCTTCCTCTGTTTGTAAGGGACACAGGTGGGATTTCCTGTGTGCACAGGAAGTGGGAGCAAGTGTGTCCATGTTAGAAGGGTTTCTGATGTCCAGGTTTGGTTTCAGGGCTTGCTGCCATGCTGTCTGCAGATGGTCAGACCGATGGGACGAAGGTTTAACTATAAGAAAGAAAGTCTCATCTGAAGAAATAGCATTTTTTTAACAGTTCACTTTATTTTAATTCAGGGTATTCAGAACTAGATCCTGCTTTCTCAGCCAAGCCATTAAAGGTCACCTAGTTCACCAATGATAATATTATATACTGTATTAATACATTCCTCTGTTTAACAAGTGCTACCATTGTTTCTCTTTAACAGATTGTACTTTGGTTTGGAACTTTGAAGGATTTATACATTCAGAACACATGTTGCATGGGACTTCACTGCAGATGATGCAATTTGCATTGCTAGTGGTACACCTTAAACAATGAGAACAACTGTTGCAAAAGTGCTTCTCAACATCCCTCTCTGCTTTATTACAGAATTGGTTTTCACAAATCCTTCAAACTTTTGATGTTGCCCTTGTGGATACTCGAGAAAAAGCAGTTTGATTTTTGCATTAGTTGCATATTTAACCTTTTAAGTTTTTGAATTTTTATTCTTGTACCCTGCCTAGGGCCATCTTACTGCGTCATCATACATGACTGTTATTCAGAGTTACAATACCAGTCTAAGCTGCATCTTGTAAAGAAACCAAACTTATTTTAAAAATCCATGATTATATTTCTGTTTTAACAGCAAAAGCCCAGGCTGCACATGTTCAGATCAATCCCATCCTATCAGTTGCCCATATGATCTGTCAATGAGGATTCAACCTCTGCTGATTTTATTTTGCAGTCTTTGTTGCTGTCGGGGCTCCTGTGTTTGAAAGTGTTGATACAACGCAGATTCCCAGTATGGGTAGAGTGAAAGGGACTCTTGAGTGACTCGGCTGATAAGGATCTGTGTTTAATAACTGCTTGCTCATATATATATATAGTACTTTTCTGGATACTCCACTCAAAGCACTTTACAGGTAATGGGGACTCCCCTCCACCACCAATGTATAGCCCAACCCAGATGATGCGTCAGCAGCCAAAGTGCACAGTCCTCACCACGCATCAGCTATCAATGGGTAAGAGCTAACAACTCTTCCAGCAGCAACCTTAGCTTTCCAAATAGGTCTCCCATCCAGGAGCTGGCCAGGGTCACACCTGCTGACCTTCAGTGGGTTGCCAGTTGTGAGTTGCAGGGTGATATACAGTAGCTGCTGGCTGCTTTAGGGCACAGCCTGTACTCCACAGTACAGATACAGTAGATCACTGGCTTGAACCTGAGCCGCCATTCCCTCACTGTGACCAGCTGGCCCTGTGTCACATCCTCTGCTTCAGGCCCTACACCCCAGCACAGTGAGGACCCTGACCTTGCACTCCTTGACCGCCACCTGTGCGTCGTCTTCCTCTCTCCCGCGCAAGTCCTGCTGCCCTGAAAAGGAGTTTCGCCATGTGGTGGGATCAAAGGAAAAAAAGAGTACCCAAAATACAGCACATGGGTCAGATGAGCAACCCCTCAAAACACACTGAGATGCACACTTTGTATGTAGAACTCAGTTACAAGCATCTATTGCCCAGAAACGGGAGCACTTTCAGATCCTCTGGTAGTATCCCCCGCAGTTAGGTGAGTGACGAGTTTAACCCTTTAAAGCGAAGGGCTTGTTCAGATCCCTTTGCTGCTTTTGAGCCACTTTAATATTTCCACTTTAAAGGAAAGTCAATTACAAATATAACGTAGACTTTAAAAGGGAGGTAGTTTCTTGGTGAAGGTGCTTTGATATGTTGTATTGAAATATTGTCGAATTAAAAGTATTTATTCACTGACTGTGGTGCCCCGAGTTTTCTGTTCTTTTTGCTGACAGGATCAGTTTAGGCCTCCCCCATTTTCCCATCTGGATTTTTTTTTTCCATGAAAAGGTATCGGCATATAAACGACTTTAAAGTTTTGAAGCGGTTTATTGAACCTGCTGATAGTCAAGCACACCCAAGGACCGGCTGCTGAAATCTGCTATCGCAGCCCTTGCAACGAACTTTTATCTTTAACTTTATTTAACTGCAACTTTTAATGTGTCTAAAATGCAAGGGTCCTGTTTGCATAATCATTGCCCTGTTGTATTAACATCACAGACTGTCCACAGAACTTCTTTCCAGAAAAGGAATTCCTGGGCTGCCTTGCTTCACAGGTAGGGTTCTGGCCCTGCGCTTGGTATTGCTAGGAGGTTGTGCTCGGGCTTGTGAAGCCTTTGCCGTCTCCTACCTGCTCCCTGAAGGTAAAGTACATTTGTTGAGGTCAGTCTGTTGTTGCTGAGATACTTTTTAAAGGTCATGTGCTCACCTACCGCTCTCTTCATCTCTCCATCGCTTACCCCTCTTCTCTCCCTCTGCTGGTCACTCACTGTACCATAGCTGTCCCTCCGCCTGCTGACCGCTGGGACTCTCTCGGCCCTTTCCGTCACCCCTCCAAGGTAGCTGGGTACCCACAAGCACCAGAACCACTGCTTACCACCCGTTTCGCCTATACCTTGAGATGGTATTGGACTATTGTCAACTGGTTTGTATAACTTCTGTTATAGTTATAGAGTTGGAGACTACTTTTATTACCTGGCTTATTCAATTTCGTTCAATATTTTGTCATGCTTAATATGATGCGTTGATATATCCAATTTCATTTGCTAATGGGCCTTCCTACTCTATGTTAATGTCACAACTCCTGTGTGGAGTTTGTATGTTCCCCATGTGTTTGCACAGCTGGCACTCTGGTTTTCTTCCACCTCTCAAGGACATGTGGGTGAAGTTTGATTCACTGCTCTAAACTTTCCCTTCCCAGGAGTATTTCAAGGTGATTTCTAACTGGAAGGGGTTGTATGCAGTATAGCCATTACCAGCCATGGAATTACAGAAAATTAGAGCCAATTCAGCAGAATGGACCCAAGGGCCTTATCTCATCTGTGCTCTGATGTTGAATATTCTGTGCATAATAGTATTGTATTTTAGTACATGGTGTCGAACAATTCATGAATAGGCAAGTACATCTGTCTAGAGAGATGCAATCATTCCGATCTCTAACTACCAAGAGACATCAGCAGAACACCCAGCACCACTTTGTCCTTGGCCTGCATTGTCAGCATATACTGGTGCCATACCCTGTGCTATGGGCTCTCTGGTTGTTGCTTAGTAACCACAACCTTGATTTTAGTTCTGAAGACAGATGCATTTGCATGTTTGGGAAAGCATTAAACATGTAAACATAGCAGCTACAGTATATCCCTCTGCATCTTACAACTGGCAGCCCACTGAAGGTCAGCAGGTGTGGGACTGGTCCTTCGAATGAGATGTAAAACCGAGATCCTGACTCTGTGGTTGTTAAAAATCTGTAGTGTTTCTCAAAAAGAGTAGGAGTGTTATCCCCGGGGTCCTGGCAAAATTTCCCCTTGGCCTTTACCAGTCACGACCTCCTAATAATCCCCATCTCTGAACTGCCTTCATTACTCTGCCCCCTGCCCACTGATAGCTGACGTGTGGTGACCGTTCTGGCGCACTACGGCTGCCGTCGCATCATCTGGGTGGGGCTGCACACTGGTGGAGGTGGGGGGGAGCCCCAATTACCTATAAAGCGCTTTGAGTGGAGTGTCCAGAAAAGCTCTACATAAGTGCAATTCTTCCTCTTGTCATAAAGTGAAAATAACACTGGGCTACTGAACAGTCACTGGCCCTTGCATCATGCAACGTTGAGACCTGAGACCACAGACTTCCATCACCTTCTGGCCAGAACAACCTCCTGATCTCAGTCCCAGAAAAACAGCTGAACACACATCGGAACCAAGTCGGCGGAAAGCAAGCCAGTCTGAATCAGGAGATGGGACTGGACTGCAGGCGTGTCCAAACGCCTCATCCTGTTGGCACTGCTCTTGGTATTGGCAGAGACCCAACAACTTTCTCACTGTAGAGTTCCTAATATAACCAGCAGGGCGAGCAGCACATGCAGGAACTGACAAGTCACTGTTACGGTCTTGGCGTCTTCAGTGTAGATGTGACTCTAAGGCATCCCTGCTCCCTGTCTTTGTTTTGTTGTTTAGTAAGGAACGCGAACCCTTTCGGGCAGCACAGTTGCGCAGTGGTTAGAACTGCTGCCTCACAGCTCTGGGGTCCTCCGTTGAGTTTCATGCTTAGGGTGTTATCTGTGTGGAGTCTGCATGTTCTCCTTTGTTTGTGTGGGTTTCCTCCAGGTGCTCCGGTTTTCGTCCAGCAGACCAAAAACGTAATGGTAGGTAAATCGGCTTTTGGGAAAACTGGCCCTGGTGTGAGTCAGCGTATGCCACGCAATGGCCAGGTAACCTGCCCAAGGTGTACCCAGCCTTGCGTCTGCTGCTTGCTAGGATAGGCTCCAGCTCCCTTGCCACCCTGTATTGGATAAAGCTGTGACAAATGAATGGGTTATTGTACTCCAGCCTGCTAGTGCTTGTCCCCCCACTCTCCCCTACAGTCCTGGTGCTGAGGTTTGCGATATAAAGGTGGCATGTACTGTATGTCCTCCAGATCACCCCTTGCTGACAGGGACCTGGAACCAGCCAACAGTGCAGAAGATTAAGGCCTGTCCTGCGAAGCGGTTTGGCATGTTTGTAAATCCTTCTGAATTGTACTTCAAGACTAAGTGATGAAGCAAGAAAACCTTGAAATAGTCAAGGTTGTGGGTGGGTTAGGGGGTTTGGTAGCTAATAATTTTTAAAGGCATCTCGTCCCTCTTTAGCAGTGATCTTTTTGACACCTTTTCCTCTTCTCTTCCAGATGCTGCATTGTGCCGGATCACTTAGTGAAAGAACTAAGAGTCCAGGCAGAATCGAGGGTCCCTGGCTCACAACTCCTGGCCATCTGTAAAAACTCAGGAATTACAGGTGATACTGAGGCAGGCAAAAACTGGAACAAATCATACAGTGATCAAACACAGAAAGTGCAAAAAAAACTCTTGGAAGAGATTCTATAGAACCCTACCTAATACGAATGCTCACCCCACAAACAATTGAATACCAGTTATTTCATCTGCTTCTTGCCTGTTCTCAGGCCCCTTTGATGTTTAAGGCTCAGGCTACCAGAGAGAATGTGTTTGTGTCTGCTTTATTTTGTGCTTGGTGTTCTGGCACATTTGCATCACCACTCTATCGAAGCTGTATAGTTTAATAAGGCAGAGATCTGTTCTTGTGTTATTCTGTGCTCTTATTTATAGCCATCCTGTAACAGAGGTTACTATATTATTGTTAAGAGTAATGAAAGTGAATGACTGCAGGGTGCCTAATAACCCTGTATTGGAGAAAAGCAGTTAGAAAATGGATGGATGGTTGCAATTAAAGCTACAGATCATAATGGCCGTATCTACAAATGAAATGTCATTTTCTTTTCCAATGGCACATGGCTGAATGTTGCACACTCAGATGGTTTTAGCAGGCATACAGAACTGTGAATTTGTTAGAAACAAAATATAATTGAAGTGGGCAGAAAACACACTTTAAGGAAAGCAAATGCTTGTAGATGGTGGGAGAGAGATTTTCCCGTCATTTGGTTGGTTCAGTAAGCAAAAATAAAACGTTTTATTTTTTATTTGGGATTTTACCAATGATGGCCGAAGTTCAAACCCCTGTGAGACCAGTGAACTTTATCAAACCTTTTCTTGTGATACGGATCTGAGGTCAGCTGGAAAATGTCGTTTCAATGGCTCTACGCTGTGGAAAGAGTGTGGAGCGTCACTGAAAACAGCAGACCCGATACAATTTGTGTGTCTGCCAACACCTGCATTTACACTGAAGGAGTAAATCAGTAGGTGCTCTTACATGGCATGTTTAAACTTTTTAGCTCTAATTCACCACCTTGTGGTCAAATTTAAAATGTAAAAGATGCTACCATTTTATAAGCTTAAACGCCACTACATTAGACTCATGATTTCTAAAACAACCCTTTCTCAGACATGTTTATTGTGCTGACTGGGCTTAGTTACTGAAAATAATGAGCTATTTTTTTTAATAACACAATCAATAGGTTTAAGCCACAGATGTATATGTTGTTGAGGTGTTCACATATTTAATCATGGACAATGTCCTTAGTGGTCTGATTCATACTATTTCACCGAGGAAAACAAAATAGCCAGAGGGAAATATCAAAGTGATTTTTTCGGCAGTCGAAAAAGAAATCGCTGAGAAAAAGTGTTCCCTGCGAATCCAGAGAAATTCCAGCATTTCAGTATGAACATGATTGTGATCTGGTCATTCCTGAGAGGATAAAAGGAAACACAGGATTCGACCATGAAGATGATAATAATAATCATTAATTAGCAACCCCTCACAGAGCTCAAGAGCACCAGTAATGTCAAATTCATTGTCCATTCAAAAACAAAGAAAATATATTTTTATGTACAGTATGATAAACTATTATACTTTTAGCATGTTCACAATTCTTTTATTGATCAGAATAAAATACAACATTAGTTAAATCATGAACAGTCTGTTCAATCAAGCCTTCAGCACACATTCCTGAATACAGCTATTATGTTCAGGGACCTGATATTATACCAGGTGCAAATAAACATTCACTAGGTTTGCACACAAAAATAGCCTATTTTTTCTCCAGTCAGGACTTCATTTTAAAAAAATGGAAGCAATTTAAATAAAAACAAATTTTACTGACAAAATTCGTTTGAAACTACACAATCATGGTGCTGCTTTGCTTGAAGTATTTTAAAGCGAATCTAAAAATAAAAGTTGTTTGATTAGTATCAATGGAAAAAAAATCAGGTATCTTTAGCTCTCTTTCTGCTTAGTTAAACCTTCTTTCAAATGTAGAACAAAAACTGTGCATGTTACTTTACACAACTCTCAAAACAAATGCAATCCTTCCACTGAAAACAAACAGGAGCCCTATGTATAATGAAGATCAACCATTGCGAATTCCTTACCAGTGTTCCAGTAAAATCGCCAGCATCACCAGTTCTACAGCGAGTGGAAATGTATTTTAGCCCCAGCTGGTACGCATGCACAGAAGTGGACTGGTTGGAGCAATCAGGGCTCGGGCACCTTGTTTAGAGCTGTAGTTGCAGTTTTGAAAACGGGGCCTTGAACCCGCAATCCTCTTGCTATGCAGCCCTAGGGGAGTCCTAGGGGCTTCTCTGCCAGAGTTGTGAGGGACTTTGGTCTTAAACTCTCCCATGTTTCCCCTCTGTGAGTGTACAACACCCCCAAGGGTGCACAGAACTGCATATTGTCCCAGAGCCGAGTTAGTACTACACCAAGCTAACGTGAATCGGGCTCTCTGGAGTGCAGCAGAGGTGTAGAGGTGCAGTGGCCAATTAGAGGACCTTTCCGGGGTTCATGAGGTTTTTGGGGTCCAGGGATGCTTTGAGCGCCTCCATCACCTCCATGGCCTGAGGCCCCACCTCCTCCCGCAGAAGAGCCCGCTTACCCAGCCCCACGCCGTGCTCTCCTGTACAGGTCCCGTCCAGGGCCAGAGCCCTCCTGCCAGAGAGGGAGGGAAGGTCAGAGCTCTTCCTGTATTTCCCCAGGTTCCCTTTTTAAAACCAGGCAGCAGCTGTATCACTCTGCAGCTACCAGCTGGCGGCCCACTGAAGCTCAGCAAGCGCGGGCCTGGCCAGTGCCTGGAGCGGAGACCTCCTGGGAAAGAGTTGTCAGTTGAGCCAGTAGGTGCACACCCTGCGGTGTTTGAGGGTCCTAATGCCCCAGTATAGTGACGGAGACTACAAGGCGCCTTCCTTTGGATGACACGTACTGTAAAACCGAGGTCCCAACTCTCTGTGATATTTAGAAAACCCAAGATGTTTCTCCAAAAGAGTTGGGTTGTTACCCCAGTTTCCTGGCCAAATTTCCCCCTGGCCTTTACCCATCATGGCCTCCTAATAATCCCCATCTCTGAACTGGCTTCAGCACTCTGTTCTCCTCCCCACTGAGAGCTGGTATTTGAGGAGAGTACTGGCACACGCTGGCTGCTGTCACATCATCCAGGTGGGGCTGCACACTGGTGGTGGAGGGGATTACCTGTAAAGGTGTACTGTACAGAAGTACAGTAGGTGGGTTACCGTTATGTTAAAGCTCCTCATTTTATCTTTGGATTTTGGATTCACTGGCTCTGAGTAGAATGTCTAGAAAAGCACTATATTATCATTAAAGATTTATTAGAAGAAACGAAACCACAGGGTGTTGTGGCTTCTGTAGAGTATAGTGGTTTTTGTTCTTCTGTTCATTACGAATTCCTGCGAGGCAGAGGGAAAATAGTCATGAAGAGTTAAAGGATTAATAAAACCCTGTTGTGGATTCACGGACACTGTGACCCCACTGTTCTGCTGTCTTGAGAGCCATTTGCGCAGCAAGAAACAGAGCAGTCCCTCACCGGGCCAGGCGGTTCGTGAACTCATGAACACGCTGGACCTCCGCTGGGTCATCTGGATCAAGGACCATGAGACAGTGGAAGTTTCCATCGCCAACGTGACCCGCAATGGGACCTGGGTATGACACACTGAAGAGGTGAGACGCTGTGACCTCGCCACACTCATATACTCAGATAACAGCTGCACTGGGAACGCCGGGGTGTTCTTGGAATTTAAGGGTGATGATGTGCTCTGGGTGTTGTGTAGACAGCTCTGAATATTGTTAACCCCTAGAAAACAAACGGGCACTGAAACAATAGTAGTCCGTTGCTGGTCTGTGTATGCACTTGTGATCCTGGGAGATAAACAGAACCCGTGGCAGGGAAAAAGAGTCCTAATATTCTTCATAATGGCTAGGTGGTGTAGTCATCTACAGGCAAAAATAATTCTTATTTTTTAGGGTCACCTATCAGTGACACTGACATTACCAGGACCGAGACACAAACGACACTCTTCGGGACAAAGCTTCAATTTTTAGGATCCGTTCAAAACTGGCTGCAGGCGAGATATCGTCACCTGACAGAGGGAAATGGAAAAACACTGCACAGATCTGCAAGGGGAGCCTTATTATCGTCACCACCCCTCCCACACACACGCCCCCCTCCCTCTCCACGTACCTGTGAGCTTGTTCTTGATGAGATCGGCCTTCGTCTCAACGATGATCTGGGGGAGTCGAGACAGGGGGACGCACACGTCCGTGGAGTAGGCCTGAAAGAAATACCCAGCATAATACGGCCTGCAATAACACAGGAAGACGGCTGCAAACAAGGAGACGCCATTCATCATATCATGATTATCCGGGAGCAGGCTGGCCATAACCAAGTCTCCCCTCAGTTGGCCACAGTCCTGGGCACCTGGGGGCGATGAGCCATTTCACATTAGATTTCCGTCTCCGTTTCCAGTCTCACCTACAGAGCGTTTTCTTTACCCCCCGTCCCCGAGAGGCAACTGGACATTGAGACAAAAGGGGTGGTGCTTCCATTGGAGCTACCGAAGGAAATCTCATCCCTGGCTGTGTTTGGAATTAAAAGCGAACTGAATTTTTGCAAGTGAAAGGGCGTATAACCAGCAGCGAACAGAAGTACAGCAGGTGGGTTACTGTTATGTTAAAGCTCCTCATTTTATCTTTGGATTCACTGGATTCTTTCATTGTTGCACAGATGTTCCGACCCGCCAGTTCCCTCCTGCTCGCAGGCTCGGGCAGTGGCGCTGCCCAGCACGGGGGGGGTATCGGGCTCGGGACGTCCAGGCGGCGCTGATGCGTGTCGGGCTTGAGGCCGTACCCACCTTGCAGCCAGGGCGCAGTGCCAGGGCAGCGTACCAGGCGTCGTGCCGCGCCTTCCAGAGCTTCCCGCGGGTCTCTGCGTCCCGCGCCCAGCTGAAGTCTGAGCCGCCGTTGGCCCCGGCCAGCTCCTCTGCAAAGCGCAGCGAAGCCCGTGAAGAGCGTCTCTGAAGAACCGCTCGGGTTTTGTTTTGTGCGGGTCAGTTTGGGTTTGCGGGCACAATGATTAAAAACAATCCGATTTTGGCCAAACAGTATTAGTGGGCCTGAGTCACCCTTACACTGAGACCTGAACACCAGCTGCAGGAAAAGCCATATACTGAGAAAACAAAGTTCCTCAATTTTGACAAGTTCTGGGCGCTCTGCAGAACCCCAGATCTCGTGTGTGGGAGCATGGAGAGACAGCAAAAGAAAGAGAGCAATTACCGTGCTTCAAGAACAATCAGGATTAATTTTGCTATTCTGAGAAAAGAAGCCGATACAGAGCTCACTGTATATTGTAATACAGAACACAATACAGAAATAAGCCAATTAGCAACAAATGCATTTTTCTGCTTTAAATAGGTGTTCCTGTGTCATTTAACAGCAAGGTCCCCCAGAGCGTCTCTGCACCTCACGTCTTGTCTACTGTCTAATACAACTTGACAGCTTTTGAAACACCTGCAGGTTTTAATTCCTTTTTTCATATTTATGCTTAAGCATATTTTGGCCATATTTTTGACACTTGTAATCATCACTCCAGAACTGGAATTGCTTAGTGTTTCTCAGCCCTTCTTATGACGTCAGCCCCCAGATCACACCAGAAGAGTAAAGACAGATCCAGGACTAACTCAGCTGACAGGCGAGTCAGCAAGTTAGCAGTGATGGATCTTGCTGATATCACTGCAAGCTCACTCATCCTCAGGAGGTCCCAGGTACTCCCGTTCCATGGAAATACAAGGGAATCCTGACTAATTCAAACGACATCACACTGTCTACTGTCATCAGGGAATCCAAGCCATTTATCCTTAATGGCACAGCCAGACTCTAACTAGTGAGGTCTACCTGCAATCCAGACTAACTCCTGCCTACTTCACAGCTTTATACAAACTGAGTTGGATAAGATCCCTGGATCAAATGGCTACTACATACTGTCCTATAAACAGGCTTGATGGCCTCCTCTCGGTTCTGACCTTTCTTCTGAGAGGCGAACGAGCCGCACGCACCTGCCATGGAGACCTGCTCCTCCAGACTCCGCTCGCTGCCGTGGAACTCCAGGAAGAGCGTGGGGGAGGTTGGGTACGACAGGCGGCTGTAGCGGTTACAGGCGTCAATCATGACGTCATCCAGGAACTCTGGAAGTCAAAGACAGAGCTGTGGAAACGGGGCAGGCCCAGAACAGCCACCACCCCCGCAAAACCTCAGGTTCAAGTCAATCCCAATTCCTTTATTCATTCCCAAGGGATGCAAATGAAGTCCGATTGGCTTGTCAAGCACTTCAAAATGAGCACATGACCAGCCTTTCCCTGTGCTGTTTTTTTTTTTAAACTAAAACAGTGACTGAGCCTATTTTTCTAAGCCCCTTCTCAAAATAGTTTTTTCCTCCCTCAAACACCTCTACCACCCTGCTCATGTACCAGGCAGGGATTTACTTTATTTGCCTGATGCCTTTATTCAAGGCAATTCACATTCAAGTAAGAGCACTGAATTCAAACAGTTCAACACAAATGCCACTGCATTAACCAAGAGCTACACATAACAGATTACACAATTAATACTGCACTGATCTCTCCCTATCCCATGAGCCTTCCCCTGCCTCTTCCCATGATCCCCCTGCCTCTTCCCATGATTCCCTTTTATCACTCTCCACCAGCTCTCTTACCCAGATGCTTTCTCCCTCCCTCCTTTCCTCCCCTCCGTCCCTTACTGCCCCCCTCTCACCGATCCTAGCGATGGGGATGCCGCACTGCAGGATCTGCACGGTGCTGTCCACCGCAGCCTGCACGGAGGGGAAGGAACAGACGGCCGACACCATGGCCTCTGGGATGCCGTACAGCCGGAGGGTGGCCTTCGTCAGGATGCCCAGCGTGCCCTCGGAGCCGACGAACAGGTTAGTCAGGTTGTAGCCGGCCGACGTTTTCCTTTAAGTGGAGGAAGGGATGGAGAGTGAACATAATCGGGTTTTGGGAAAAAGAAATAAAATTTGTCCGACCGCCCCCAACGCAGCTCGGTCCGTCTTAGTTGAAAGAGCTACACCACTTGAAAAATGACCCCACGGATTAAGCCTGTACTGTGCCAGACATGTATCTCTCGTGATAAAGAGGCGGTCACCTTTAGGCGCAGGCGAAAGGCTACCTTGGGCGGCGTCCTCTGCCTGCCGTGTGGAAGACTGTTCCATCAGCAAGGACCACCTCCAGGTTGAGCACGTTCTCCCTCATTGTCCCGTAGCGCACCGCGTTGGTGCCAGAGGCGCTGGTGGCAGCCATCCCGCACAGCGAGGCGTCCGCTCCGGGGTCTGGGGGCAGACAAGGGTGTGGGAGCGCGGGCTTGTGGGATAGATCCTACTGTCCATGCTGGTTGCCAAAGCACATTGCCCAGGAGCCTTCAGGAAATGGCGAAATGAGGCCAAACTACTAGTGAACAGAGGAGCAGGGAGAGCCAGTTGGTGTCCTCTATTTTCTATCTCTATTTAATTTTTTTGTCACCTTTTTATTTTGAAGCGTCGCGTTCAGGTTTGGGCAGCACTGTGGCTTAAAAATGCTTTCCTGCAGCACTGGAGCCCTGAGTTCAGTTCATGAGTTTGGTCTCCCCTTGTTCGCGTGGCGCTCCCATTTCCTCTCACTGTCCAAAGACATGTCCATAAGTTAATTGGCTCCTGGGAAAATTGGCCCTGGTGTGAGTGTACGTGCTTTGTGTTGGCTGGCATCCCTGCCAGGGTTTACCTATTGTGCCTTGTGCCCGTTGCTGACCTGCCTACTGGATAAAATGGTTAGAATAAAGCATGGATGGGTGTTGAGGCTTGGAGGGGTACGATCTACCTTTGCCTGTAAGATCAGAGATTCTTGTCATTCCAGAGCTCAAGGGCATCTACAATAAGCTGCCAACCTTAAGCCAGGTGACACATCTGGAATTTAGCTTTGGCTATTTTGTCATTTTGATGGTGAGTGTATAACGTTTTTCACAATACTATGCAATTGTATTCAATTCATAAATTGAAGGCTAAATATTTGGAACCAGGGATTTGTCCAGTTATTTAAATAATTAGACCATTTAATTCAGACATGGCGGAAACAAAGAACTAGAAGACGCTGCAGGCCACCAGGAATGCGGGTTTTGACCCCTGCCCGAGGTCACACGACAGCACGGTGAACTACGCTGTGCTTACCGACAGGAAACCAGAGGCCGCTGTCCCGCAGGTGGCTGTTGAGAGCCGTGCGAGTCACACCGGGCTCCACCGTCACATCGAAGTCCTCAGCGTGCAGGTCCAGGACCCGGTCCATCTTCCGCAGGTCGAAGCACACCCCGCCCTGCCACAGCACACAGCAACACTGGCACACTGGCCATGCACAGCTCACGGTTTTTACAACGCCCGCATCGTTTATTCCTTACAACAAAACAAACCTGAACTTCTCATCTCATGGACTCTTGGCCACCAATCCCTTGAAAACTACTTTCTGGAAGAACTTGATCTCCCTTCTACTGTTCTCTTATCTCTCACACATTTGTAGGTATATTCCTAGTAGGCTGCAGATTTCATCTCACCGATAACGGGAACAAAAGCGTCTGAAATTTGCCTCTCCAAGTAATCTACTAATCCCCTGCAGAAACTACAGCGTAGCTCCCCACAGACTTTTAGACACATTTTGTATTCCTGCAGAGCTGCCTTTAAAAACCCACTTGTATTGTGCTGAATGCAACATTTTAAGAGCCAAAAAGAAAAGAAGTTAAATGGTGGGTTGTGAGGGTTCAGTAAAATAACAGAGAGTCCTGCTGAAGAAACCCACGAGGGCCAAACTCCACGTCCTGGATTGGGAGCAGCCAGACGCGTGGCCCCCGGGTCCCCCTCCCCTCCAGGGCGCACTGATTACCTTGAGGGCCCCGACTCCTCCTTCCAGGCCGGTCCCGGTGCCGAAGGGGATGATGGGGAGGCGGTGGTGGTGACAGATCCGGGCAAGGGCGCTCACCTCTTCCACGCTCCGAGGCCAGACCACCACGTCTGGGGGCCGGCAGCTGAGAAACACCAACACCGCCAAAATCCTGCCAGTCCCACATTACCCCGCCATCACTTTGTCCTGGGTAGGGTCTCCCCTCCCACAGAACTGAGCCGATGTTTTATATTTTTCTTAGATATACCATTTTCAATGTCTGCCTAAATCCTTACATAATAAATATGAATCCAGTGACAAATAAGATACTAATGACTATAGAAGAAAGATGTAAAATAACATAAGCATTTGAAGAGCCAAGAGGTCTTATTAGCAAAGTATGAGTTCAGTCAAAGGCTCAATCAGCAGCAATGAAAACCCAGTAGCCGGTTTCCCAGGATCTGTAGAAGGAAAACTGGTTTTGAATAAAGATATGTGTGGGGAAAGTCCACCTTGGTACACAGGAATTGTACTTCATTGCACTACTTTGATCAAGCCAGTATCTTCCTGGATTAATAACTTAATTGGTCAAAGTGCAAACTGGTCCAGAGCTTTAGCCTGCACTGGAATAGAAGAGATCAGAAAAGCTTTGGCAGTTTACATGTCAGTGGATGAACTTGCTTGATTCGCTCGTGTATAAATTGCCCAGCCATGTTGTTGAACAAGATTCTCTGGGATCCTCTGAGATGAAGCTGGATGAAATCCTTGGATCAATAAATGAATGGCAACTAAATCAGCAGGACCTGATGGATGGCACCTTTCCCGTGTTCTTATCAACTTATCATGGTACATTAGTGCCCTTAAAAGAGACATCAAGAGGGATTATGGAGAAGATGGCTTTGAGATGGCTTTACCATTATGGCTTATAAAGAATCTGGGTTCTGTGCGATGACCTTCTCCTGAAACTGCAGTCTGTGCATCTGTCTGCCTGTCATTGATCCAGGAAGAGCACCTCTGAGCCCAACGCACACACACGGTGGCCTGACCTGTGCACCGACTCGTCCCTGCCATGCTGCTCCCTGACTGCATCCCCTACAGAAACACCCTCGTCCCCCGTCACGGCGCGGAAGGCACCCACAGCGCGGTCCAGCCCCCGGCTCTAGGGAAACGAGAAGGAAAAGAGAAGCTTATCCGGACCGTGCAGTATCCTGAGAGTGGGGCACTTTAATCCTTGAAGTCTGATCCTTTGCAGAAAAACTTTACAAAACAGCACAGGATTGGGAGACCCTGAGTAAGGGCACAAGGGATACACAGACAGTCAGGACTCACAGGACTGGCAAAGCCTCCAGACAACCAGCAAAGCTCTGGTCCGTGCTTGGATTTATATTACAGACACTGTGCTCCTGACGTTAGCTGGCTTGAGCTAACTGTACAGTAAATGATTCATGAAAACTGTGAAGGAAAGAAATTTAGTGCACAAAGCCATTTTGACAATGACATTGCACACAAGAGTGAGCTAAACTGGCTCAGTGTGACCAGTATTTGTGTTCATAATGGATTGCATGTGGTTACTGAATAGTATATGAGCTGTTCTCCCAGGTCCCATTTGTGATCTCACTGATCCACAATGAATAGTTTCCAGGATGCAGTTGTTTCAATATCCCAGCTAACTTTTTAAGCACTACTGTATGAACACTTTGGAGTGCACATGCTCTTGCTCCCCCCCAGTAACACACAATAGATATATCCATGGCATAAATCTCAACTTCAGTCTTCAACTATCCCTGCCTGTACAAGACCAGACTATCAGACATGGTGTTTATGCTGGCTCTGGTGTGTGCCTGGTGCTAGCATGTTAAAAGCAATCCGGTTTTATGACATTTGAATCAACAGGTTAAAAGCACCTGCCAATGAATTATTGTTATGTATATAAACAGACACTGCACATTTTTTCTTGCAAGGCTATTGATTTTTAAGACTTAATTATTGATCTTATTATGTATAATAATTTTAGCACTGGTGAGGCCAACTTTAAAGCTCTCTTGTAAACATACAGACGAAATCAACACCGCGCATCGACGTCGAATTGCACTGTTTTGAGGACAAGGGGGTCACCAAATATTGACGGGGCAAATTTAAAATGAGAAGATAAACTTGGCGTTTTAAAGGTGTTTACAAGAACCGTGCATTGGGTCCCGACCTACGGGACCGGGCCAGTGCTGTGGTGTAACCGTGAGAATATGGAGAGACGGAAAGACGGCGCTGACCTGCTCCCCGGCCGCGTAACTCTTCCGGTCAGTGCGCAGCGGAGGAGCCCGGCGGTGCGCTGCCCACCTGCCCTGCAACAGGTGGAGCTGCACCAGGCGAGCGAAGGACATGGCGAGCGGGGCTCCGAAGTCTGCGGTTCAAATGCTCTTTCAGGAGATTCTCCCCCCTCTGCAAAAAAAAAATGAAATTATTTTGCTTCCGGGTAAAGGCAGTAGTACTGTACTACAATACTGATACTAGTACTGATCTACACAGCTTCAAATTGCCGCACTGCGAGCTGACTGCCTTGAGCGCACATACAGATACACCCCCTCGTTAGTACACAACCTGGCGTCTTTAATAACCCGTGAAATGTTCTTACTATGTACGGAAAATAAAATATATCTTCTGAAATTCAATACCGAAACAGAAAGCAGAGAGTAATAGACTCTTAACTATAAATACAGTTGGGTCCATCGTGAAACTTTGATCAAGCAACAATCAGTATGAACTTTTCACATGTTTTTTTTATGTTTTTGCTCTTCATTTCGGCTCGATTTAAAATAACCCATAGAAAATAGATAAAAAATTCTCATCAATTTAAAAACGTTTACGAAACATTATAATTGTCTTTTGCGCTAACAAAAATGTTGGAATTTGTTTTTTGACTCTTTAATTTCAAGCGGGTATGCATTTTTTTTTATTTCGATGTGGTTTGTTTCTGTAATACTGTATTATTGTAATGGCAATGAGTTTAATAATGAATAGATTCTGGCGTGTGTAAATAAAATGCATATTATGGATTTTTCAGATTACACTAAATCCAATAATAAGAAAATAAATCCCTAATATCCGTGGAAAGAATATATGATGCGTGGCACTTGCAAATCAGCTAGTGGAACGGGACCCTTTTCTTCAAATAAAACTACAATCGCTTAATGCCAGGGTGTTTAGGGATTTATGTTATGATTACAATGCTACATAAGGCAATCAACATTTTAATTACATAAGGCAATTAACATTTCCAGTTACAATATACATTACTACAACTAGTGCTAATATAGTCCTACTGTTTCTACTAATATTAATAAACAGTTGCTATGCTCCCCCATTTCAAAACCAGTTCATACAAAAACAACGAAATTAAACAGAACGCACTCAGCTCCTTTATGAATTATTAATAGCTTCAGAACGTGGCATTTTATTATGATCAATTCGATCTGGCCCACACCTCATTCATTTGGGGTGGGCGTTTTCTGATCCTTTTTCGCAACGATAATTCAAATGAAAGCCCCGCGTTTAAAACGGATCATGGATAAAACGAACAACAATTTTTAAAACATCTACTTGATGAATTAACACTTATTCATCTCAGTGTTGGCTCGAAACAGCTTGGTGTCGTCATGTCATGTCAGTGACTGCAGGCTTCCAGTTGTGTTTTTTTTTTCTCCACGTGCTGACAAAGATAGTGCAGCGGTCAAAGATCGGTTTCGAGAAAAGGGGCACTTTTGTCATGTTTAGTCCAAAGTGCAGGCGGACAGAGCAGAGGCTATTGCGTCTGGTACAGGAGGCGGCTGGGAATGAGCTGTACAGTATGTATTCTGAATAAAGGTCTGCTCGAAAGAGGTAAGTACCTTACAGCTTACTGATTCAGTTACTGTTACAGCTTGCTGATGGGCTTGCAATTTGTTCTGGAATTGAATTATGCCGACTGTTCGCCTTGAGGGCGCTCTAACGCCGTTGAACCGTTTTCAAAAGCATCACACTGACAGAAAACTGTCACAGAATACCTGTGTCAGCAGCGAAACCGAGGAAGCAGGATATGCAGTTCCCTGGGCTGTCCTAATCTGTTATTCTCTTTCTGGCGTTTTATTTTTATTTTGCGACCTGTGAGTTTCGACTTGTGAGTCCATTGTTAACACTCTCCGGCCCTCATACAGTATGAACTGGCTTATCCCACAGTGTCTCCCTGGGCTGTACCGCACGTGTTGGGCTCAGTCTGCTCAGAGCAGCAGGGCAAGAGGTCCGTCACTGTCCTGCTTCAGCCCCTCCAGAGGGGGCGCCATGCCGAGGCCCAGGAGGCGGGCAATGCTGCTGTGTATCTGTGTGCTGGCAGTGGTCACCATCGGGCTCGGCCTCATCCAGAGTGTCCTGCTGGACAGAAGAGCTGAGAAGCCCTGGAGTCACACCGGCGAGCACCTGGCCTCTGCTCTGAACCTCCCCACGCAGGCAGCAGTGCTGAAGCCCCTGAGAAAACTCCCTGGGAGAAATGACCAGGACAGGTAACATTAACACTAAGCACAGAGCAGAGGCTGCAATTTCATCAGTTCATTTAGCCACGGCATCAGGATACATCACAGACAGATACTAGCCAATGTAAGCATTCACCATCAAGTAGCACAGCAGGGTGGAAGCTTTGTAGGAACATAAGAAAGGCTGCAAATAAGAGAAGGCCTATTCAGCCCATGCAATCAGTTTGGAAGTTAGTAGTTGAAGAAAGCCAAGGTTTCAGCTTCGGCTATACGGCTTTGTAGCTGGTTCCAGACTCCCACAGCCTCTGAAGCAGTGAAGAAGTGCCTCCTGTTGGTTTAAAATGCACATGCACATAACTTCCACTGTGTTTTCCTGGACTTTGTGTCAGTTCAGTGATAACCTCTTTCAGGTAATGTGGGTTTCAGGCATGAAGAGGTGTAGATACTGTATATGGAACAAAGTCCCTATTGTTGGCATGAGGAAGAATGAGAATGGGAGATTCTCTAAGTCCAGTGACTCGCAGCATAGATCATAGATCCCAGAACAGAGGATACCTATTGAGGAAAACCACCGTCAGCTGAAACTGTGATCTGCATCTTGTGATTGGTGCTCTCCTGTTTCACAGTGCTGTGTTAGGTTTTCTCTCCCCTCCAATGCGACTGTCTTATTTTTCAACTTTGAGTAAAGTGCGTTTTCCATTTAGCCAGTTACATATTTAAATCCATTTTATCAGCAGTGGAGGGGGCATGTTGCAGATGAACTCTTCCCCTGGTTTTAATGGTCCTGCACATCAGGTGTCAGTTTCAAACGATGCCAGTCAGCGTCTTGTTGAACTGTAAGGGCAACCTGCTCCTGTATGTTCCAGATAACTCGCCTGTTCAAAAGGCCTAATTTTCCTACATTCTGACTGTTTTCCACCTGCGACTAAAGGCCTTTTTCTCCCAGGTGGCTGGAAGAGCCAGTCAGTCAGTCCAAGCAGCACAGAGCTGCCCAGCACCTGTTCCAGAACGGGGAGCTGGCGTGGAGCTCTTACAAGTGCTTGACCTCAGGAAGCTTCTCCCCCGAGGACATGCAGCGGTTGATTCGTTCTCCGAGACAGGCGGACCGGCTGAGCCCCCGAGACAGGGAGATCCTGACCCTCCTGAGGAAGGGCTCGGTCCGCAAGGTGGACCAGCTGGACCTGCGGGGCAAGCGAGCCCGGCTGGTCTTGTCCCTGGACACCTCCCGGCCCGTGCAGGCGGGGAGGGACTACTGCGGCGAGGGCGGCTGCGCGCTGGTGAGGGAGGCGGCGGGGCTGGGCGAGGTGCTGAGCTTCCACCTGGACCGGGTCCTGGGGCTGGGGCTGGCCCCGCCCGCCGCCGCCCGCGCCCTCTCCACCTGGCTCCTGCCTTTCCGCTACACCGACGGGCCCCCGCGGGCGCTGAGCTGGTGGGACCCCCGCGCAGGCCGGGACTGTGAGAGGGGGCCGCCCTGCGAGGGAGGACAGAGCAAAGGGCGCCGCGAAGCCCAGCACCTCCTGAGCTACTTGCTTCAGGTACTGTAAATGGTGTCGCTGGGCAGCCAGACCTTGGGATGGGCACTGTTCACCCTTACCAGCCTTGTACCGACACAGAAAAGCATGGCTAGCGTGTGGGCAGGCCAGCGTCAGGCCTTGATTCATGAATAATGATGAATAATAATAATTCCTTACACTTACTGTATAAAGTGCTTTTCTGGGCACTCCAATCAAAGCGCATACAGGTAATGGGGACTCCCTTCCACCACCACCGTAATGCGACAGCAGCCAGAGTACACCAGTACACCCACCCCACACCGGCTCTCAGTGGGGAGGAGAGCAGAGTGATGAAGCCAGTTCATAGATGGGGATTATTAGGAGGCCATGATGGGCAAAGGCCAGGAGAAATTTGGCCAGGACCCCGGTGTAGCTCTTTTAAAAAAAACTCTGGGATGTTTAATCAGGACCTCGGTTTTACATCTCATCCAAAGGACAGGTGAAAAGCCACAGGTGAGCATGGAGATAGATGAATGATAAAGCTCTTGATAATAAGACTTTAGATTCACAGAAACACAGTCATCAACACTAGAATTTTTAGGAAGATAGTAACATATAAGAGGAGACTATCTTGAGCACGTGGATGCTACTAGCTACAGCAACAGATGCACGGATCTTATCGAGGTGTTTCATGAAAGCTGATGTAGTTAGCTTCACATTATGGATAACATCTGAATACTATCTGTAATTTCAGCCAGATATTGACTACTGACATCAAATCAAATCTTTAACAATAGTTTTACTCTCAACCCCCAGCCCATGGCACCTGTAAGTACAACATCTTGTCTGCACGTTCATTTCAGCCTCATTGTTAAGAAGTCTTATTCCTACCTCGCCTTGTGCAAAGTAGTGTTCTCCCAGAATGTGCTCTTTCCGGTCTTGATGCTCAAGGAGTCCATTGAAGAAACTTTAACCATTTGAGTAATGAAATACCCTCATAATTGCCTCTGATCAAAACTTAGATTAAGGTATTTTAAGAAATCTGTGTATGTTATATTATCTAGATTGGGATGTCTGGTAGCTGTTTTGAAAATTTTCTAATAACCCCCCCTTGATCTAAACTCTACATTTAAAGGGACAGATCTGAAGTCAAGTTTTTGTCCTTTGATTCACACTTAAATACACAACATAGATACACTTTAATATACATTCCACAACTACATACTGTAGGAACAACAGACCACAAAAGATTCATAGTATAATTCTCCTAATCTGTCTGGTATCTGACTACAGATTCACTTGCATTTATCTTTGGTGTGTTTTTAGCTAAAATATGTCATTTTATGCTGTTCTACTTACAAATATTGCAAATCAGTGCCTGTGTATTTAAAGATAATGGAATTACATTTCAGAATACGGCGAGTTCAGTTCTAGTCCAGCTTTGCCACACTTCCCCACTAGAGGTCACATGCCACAAAAAAACTAAAGCAGCCAGCTACTGCAGGAGCTTTCCAGAATTCATTACAAAACAGTAAGAAATATGTGATATCTAAGTCAGAGTTCACTGAGGTACTGGTAACTTCCACTCTCAAGGGGTATCTAGGAAACTATGACTACATTTCTCATGTGAAATAGTCTGGATGTAATGTTGCAAAAAATGTGGAGTCCATAGAACTTTGTAGGGTCAAATTTGATTCGTTCATTTGTGATAGCAGAAACAACATGACAAATGGGATGCAGTACATTCCAACTCCTGCGCAAAAGAGACAATCATGTGGGTCACGAGAGCTTGCTGAGGTCCGGCTTAAACATTCTGCATCACTACAGCTCATAGCACCTGCTTCTGCAAGGACTGCATCTCGCGCCACAAATGATTCGACACATACCTAGTAAGGAGGAGATTAGCTGGCTGCAGGATAATTCCAAATTAATTTCATTCAGTTCTGGAAAAGGAAAATTATATGAGGTAAATTCCTTTAAATGTTAGTATTTGAGAAGGAATAGTCAATAGGGAACACACCTCTGCAGTGACCGCTGTTGGCAGGTGTCTCCAAGGTTTGAAATGTATGGCAACAGACTGTCTCCCAGCTGTCTCTGCCTAAGGGATAGTAAATACTTCCTCTCAGCCAGGAACACCCCTGTGCTATACATCGCACCTCTTACTCCCTCCATTTTGGGAATGACAACTCCCACTGCACACAATCACACACAGTCACAACCCCCCCCCAACTTTCTAAAATCTGTCCCACACAGCTGTGAGGCTCTTATCCCTAACCCCCTCCCACCGTTCCTCCACTCCTGACTCTCTGCCTTCAGCCTCCTCTCTCCATGTCCCCCAGCTCTGACCTGGGCTTCGTCCGGTAGACGAGCTGTGTCAGCTCTACCCTGAGGTCCGTGAGTGCAGGCTGTCGAACAGCGGGCTTGTGCGCTAAAACGAAGCGACTCTCGTCCTCACAGGGAGCAGGTGGAAAGAACGCAACTTCCGATGGACGAGAGGAACTTGACCCGCAGCTGATCGAAGAAGTTGGCCGGTGAGTCCCAGTTTAGGGGGTTCTTGTTGGGGACGGTAAACAGCTGCAGAGATGCATTCAAAAGCCCGTTTCTGTCAGTTTTACAGAAGACATGAGCCAAACAGGTTTGAACTTCCAAAGAGGGCGTGGTGCTTAGCGCTGCTGCTCCGCAGTGCTGGAGCCCTGGGGTTTGGTCCTGGACCTGGGCTGCTGACTGTCTGGAGTTTGTACAGCATGTTCTCCCTGTGTTTCCTCCGGTAGCTCTGGTTTCCTCCCAAAACATACTGGTACAGTAGGGGAATTGGGAAACTGGCGGGGGTGTCCCCTTGTATTTTTGTCATGACATTGACACTGACATATCTTGACATTTTATATTATTGAGACTTTGAGCGTGCATGCGTGTGTGTTTGTATCTGTGTGATGCCATGTGATGGGCATGTAATCCTGTGCAGGGTGCACCCGTCTTTTGCTGGGATAGACTCCAACTTCCCAGTGACCTTCTGCTAGATAAAGTAGTTAGAAATTGTGCTTTGTGTGGAACTTCTACAGAAACCAAATAACATTTTGGGTCCTCATAATCGCTTCTAAATGGGAAGTATTTCCACTTCTTCCACTAAAGACATCGGAGCTCAGTAAACATTTACTCTATTAATGAGCTTACAGTAATTGTTGACTGGGCCTGATCTGTCTCTTAAGCTGTGGGTTGGGTATCTCTGTGGACACATGTGAACAAACTGTACAGTAAGCCACAATACTGACACTCCTGAAATAATGACGCAAATATGACTGTACCAAGGTATAAAAGCCTATGTGTCTAAGAAAAGCTAGCCCTTCTGCATTGTGATACTTTTCACAAATAACAAAAAAGACTCTTGAAGTCTTTTAGTGACTGCTGAAACAAGGGTAATAAATCAATTTATGAAAGAAAATACGTCAAAGCCTGCAGTCACTTAATTGCAGTTCATTTTATCTCATTATTTCTTGCAGCATGAACACCTACTTCTCTAAGAGAAATAAACCACATTTGACAGAAAATATCTGCCCCTAAGATATTAATAACATATTCAATTCATAGTGAACATTAATATTAATGTATTTTAAATATATTCTAAATTTGCCTGTTTTTGGATGGTACTAAGCAACAATCATATGAACTGTGTCAATTTAGTATCTAAAAACGAATTGATGTGATGGCATTTTAAAAATTACTCACTGTATCAGGATTCAGGTGATGGTGAATAAGCATACTACAGGATACTCTATGTAACTCGATCGCATGCACAGAATATTGATCAGGCGTAATCCATGCCCTGCACTTAGTGACATGATATGGATCATACAAGAGAGAGCAAGAGCTATGCTTCAGATAGAGAAATATTTTTTAAGCAGGATACCAGAAAAAGGGTACTGTTTATCTCTAACTCAACTATTTTGTGTGTTAATTTTGTGAATGAGCCAGAGTCTAATACTACAAGGGTGCGAGATGGGACTGTGGATATTAGGCTTGTGCTGGAGCACCTGTAAGCAGGCATCAGTGACCTCCGCAGGTACTCGTGTTATCAAGTACCACCCAGCCAGTCCATCCCAGTGTGGCTTGAAGCCGTTTCCTCTGATTATTGCATTAATAAACTGAACCAAGAAATGAATTCACCAGATGAGCCTTACTGGAGTCATAAAAGATTTCACTTACGAACTGGATTTTTATTGTCTCTCGGTGTATATCAACAAACCATATATTAACATCACAGGGAACCTTCGCAATCAAGTCTATGCTAATTTCCTCATTACTAGTTACTATGTTGTTGTGGAAGAGCTACTGTCCTACTCCTACTGTTGTATTGAGAGTTCCTGTCTCAGCGTGCAATACAGCAAGCCTTGATGCTGGTATGAACACATTGTGTTCTAGCTAATAGGTCAAATACTGTGTGATACTACATCCCACAATGGGGAAGTGGTCAATACTGACTCCTACCATGTCTCATCTTCAGTACATTACAAAATAGAATAAATGGGAGCATGGTCATTTTGTAGAATGATTAATATAGAAGTTTTTTATTCTTTATTAAGTGAAAAGCATTAAACATTATAATCTCTTTTTATCAACATTTCCCTTGCGGGGGGATCCTGGTTTCTTTCTATAGACATCCAAGCATGTGGAACAGATGAACTACTGCACTGATACAGAAAAAAGTTCAAATTATCACTGTGTCCCAAAATGTCCTCAGTAAACTAAACTAACAGCAGATCCAAAAGCAGGAACAAGACTTATTATTAAATGCAAGTGGGGGATTTGACTGGAGTATTTGCAGGGATGTCTGGGGATTCCTGAGGCAGAATGACTCATTACCATTGGAGTAGAAAGACGTGTTTCGTGTTTTACCTGAAGAGTCTTACCGTAATATGAGGCACAGTATGGTGCTTTCAAACTGCCTGCTTCTCTTTCTGTAGGCTTCCGGAGAGAGCCCGCACTGCCCTGTCGTCGCAATGCGTGTCCGAGAGGTGGGCCACCTCCCTCCACAGTGACCAGACTCTCTGGGAGACCCTCAGCGGGCCGCCCTTGCGGGAGCTCATGCGCCACGTTCAGACCAGGGCCAACGATCTGGTCCGAGCAGCCCGAGATGGAGGGATGCCTTTTGTCCCCCAAAATGTGAAGCACTAACAAAGGTCCAGGTTTTTTGTGTTAATTTTTTCCAATTTGGTTTTGCCAGGTGGCTTTATGGCCACCTGTCTGTTTGTCAGAGCGGTTGGACGCTCAGTGTCTCGCAGGACAGTTGGCACCTGTAGGCACAGTACAGTGTGTTTCTCCCTGATGACTCCAAGTGCTTGAACTTCATTGCAGCTTCAAGAGCTAAGTCATTCCCAATCCCACAGTGCTCAGCCAGCGTGGCTCTGTGGTGTTCAGGATCACTTGTACAGCAGTCACCATTTGCCCAAACATGGACCTGACTGCTCAGGGCCAACGAAGGAGGTCTCCATCGCTCTCCAGAACAGGCCCTGTGAGATATGGCCCAGAATCGCAGCAGAACAAAACGTTCTTATGAAAATCATGCGAAATGTCAGCTTCCTTTTCAAATGAATATTTAACGTTTTGACTTCAATGTTCTGTGTTTTTATTTATGACACAGCCTGCTCTGGCTGTTGCATCATCACAAAACCCAAGCAGAATAGAAGGACTTCAGCGGGTTTAAATTTCATTCCAGTTCGAAAGTCCGTGGGGCAGCAGTTTTGCATCACAGTGGTTCAATCAAGATAGCAGCGTCTCTTGTATTATCACAATGGACTGTGTGGATCAGTGTCTCCAGTAAAGGAGTAGTTCACCTGAATCTCATCAAGAGCTGCATGAACAAAGAGGACTAACATACAGCTCAACCATGCAGGAACAAATCCTCCTCCCACAGATATGGATGAGGACCGACACAGTAATCCTGCACATTTACAGCTCTCCTTTTGGCCTCTTTGATTTAAAATCTTTAGATGTCTCTCATATGATCCTCATTGCTCTGTCTGTAGACATGGTCTTTATGATTTCAATGAGTGGATATTATATTGTATATATTAAAGAGTCAGTAGAGCTCAGAATTTCCAGTTCCCTGATATGTTCAGTTAGTAAACCCCTGTATAAAATATTCTTTAAACACATTTATTATTGTATTTAAATCTTTTAGTATTGGTGTTTTTGATCTCTTATTTAAATTGAGCTTACTGTTCAGCTCATCATTTTTGTTGTTCTGAATTTTCTCTTCCTGAATACTTTTTTCTTTCCTGCTAAAGTGTCCTCTTCCTTTGAACATTAATCACTTAAAGCATGGCCCCTGTTTTAAGAGTAGAAGTACCTCCAGTATGTCCTCACATCCATAAGGGTTTAACTAGGATTTCTAGTCACATTTCATTTCAACCACACTTTTACCAATGACCCATGCTTCATTGTTAAATTTGTTTCGTATCTGTTTTGTCATATTTACACTTGTGTCCCACTTCAATTATTTGCATTGTCTGGGATGACTCTCAGTTTTGCATCCTGACAAAACCTCAAATTCAACTTCAAATACCTGTATTGTTGTCTTGTCGGGAAAGAAGAGGGAAATGGGTGAACTGAAACGTCCAGTAAATCTAAGACCTGGAAATAGTTTGTCAGCATTCATGTCGTTGATATAAAACAGAAAGAACGGTTAAGCCTTTTAACTATGGGGATGTGAGCCACTTTTTTACACAATGGTCTAACGCTGTGAAAATGTCAACTAAATGTTGAAGTGGAGTCTTTGGGATTTTGTGGTAAATGCCTGGCTCAGATTTCTGCAATAGCAGCTTCAGATTAAACACGCAGGGCAGACCAGTGGCCTCCTCTGTCTGGTCAGCTGCATCACGGACGTGCGGTCCTGCAGGAGCTGCCTGTGCCGTCTCCTGCCTCTCTGCTGACTCAGCAGCCCTCATCGCCATGTGTGAAGCATGTGTCCTTCATACTTCCCTGCAGCCCTGGAGCTCATCGCCCTCAGCGGTCCCAGCCTCCAGAGCAGCCAGCGTCAGCTCATCGCTTGCTCGCCCTACGGCTGTGGCTGATCCCATAAATTCTGACGGCAGCACTTTCTGTGCTTTTGTACCGCACACATGAAATGTGTTTGACAAGGACCATTATTTTCTGTCACTCCCTCATCCCTACTTACATAAGGTGTTGTAAAACTGAAGTCCTGACTCTCTGTCGTCATTAAAAATCCCAAGATGTTCCTTTGAAAAGAGTAGGCCTGTTACCCCGGCGTCCTGGCCAAATTTCCCCCTGGCCTTTACCTGTCATGGCCTCCTAATAATCCACTATGAACTGCCTTCATCACTCTGCTCTCCTCCCCACTGAGAGCTGGTGTGTGGGGAGAGTACTGGCGCACTATGACTGCCGTTACATCATCCAGGTGGGGCTGCACACTGGTGGTGAGGGGGAGTCCCCATTACCTGTAAAGCGCTTTGAGTGGAGTGTCCAGAAAAGAACTATATACAGTAAGTGTAAGTAATTAATTATTATTTGCTCCTTCACTCACTCATTCACTCATCCCTCTTGTTCACTCCATTCTTAACTCCATCGCTCTCTGACCTGTTCACTCACTTTTGCCACAGGTCTCATTGAGAACAGGTCATCTCTGATTTCACTCGCCTCACAGTTAAAAGGAGAGATTTTTAAAGGGTTTTGGCAAACCTACTACAAGAATGCAAAAGTTTTGTGGATCAAATTCAAAATTTGCTTGTCTCCAAAATAAACAAAACTTGACATCTCTAAATATCTAAAGTGCATTTTAGAAAATTTTGATCATTTATGTCAGCGAAGCTAAAATATTAAAAAATTATGCTGTGTGTAAAATTGTGTGTACCTTTTTTGAAAGAGTTAATAATATTCCTTTCTTAGGCATCTTCCTGGTTTAAAGTCTGTTTTTCAATTTAATCTAACACTGACAAACATGCAAAGCCGATATTTTACTTTAAGAAATGGTGTTGAAACGCGTAAGGTGTTTCTTTGATTTTGATTCGGAGCCCCTACAGCTGGGAAAAACATCAATCAGTTCTGTGCAGCCTTATCTTAAACCTGGACTCTGCAGCCCTGATCCTAGAGGGACATAGTACTGTGGCTTTTTCAGGCAGCTTTCAATGCTCAGTGAGAAAAGAGCTGCAGAATTTTACTAACTGTTCCATTGAAGTCATTCAGGGCTTAACTGCAGTAAAGGCCAGATTCTGAAGCACCAGGGCTACAGACTCCTGAGGTGACATGACCTCATACATTCTAACTAGAAGATGAACTGGTAGCACCAAGGTTTCACAGTTCCATGCAGTTTCAATTTGTTTGTTCTGGTTAGTCTTTTACTGTTAATTCACCAGTGACTAAAATTCCAGGTCAGTGTAGCTAATAGCTTAATATATTTAGATTAAACTTAGAATTAGTTATTAGAATAGAATGATTTATTATTACTACACTCAGCCAATGTTTTGATCCAAAGTAGCTTCCATTTATAGAGGTGGGTATTTTACTGGAACAGGGAAAGTACCTTGTTCAAGGGTACAACAGCACTGTCCCACTTAGGATTTGAACCCACAAGCCTTCAGTTATGAGTCCACTCCATACTGCTTCCCTGAGTACCATAGCATCTTTAGACCTGCTACCCTGAGCAATCGCATCTGGCTCTGTCTGATTCCTGATCCTGGAATAGAGGAACTCTGTTTAGCCTTGAGCACAGGACCTGATACAAATACTGTTTAAAAACCTAAAAAAAAAACTATTTACAAACTTGACATGTTTTGGCAAAGACAGCTAAAAGGACTACTCAATTTAAGGTCCACTTGTGCAATACAGATTACCAGCTACAAGGCCAAGTTGATAAAACAGATCAATAATTCAAGAGATCCTTGAACCAATGAGCTAAGATGAACTGCATGGCCCCTCTTGTTTGTTACCTTTCTTGTGCTCTTCTGTTTTACATGAATCTGTTTCTGTATTCAGAATGCATGTGGAATCTTTCAGCATTGAAGAGGTCGCCTTGTCCTGCTCTTATTTCACTGAACACCATAATTACATGCTGCTATGAAAAACCAGGGATTTTGAAATGCTGTGTGTGGTGAGGTTTATAGCCCTAACAGCACCCATGCCTCTGCTGTGATTTGTATTCAGCACTACAATTGGAGCATCTACAGGTATGCGTTCATGCCAAAAGGTGATACTGATGTTTACCATACGATGGAGTCAGTAACTCTTGTTCTCAACACTTGATTATGTGTTTTCAAATTTAGAAAGTGCTTGTCCCATTCATTTAAAATATGTCACCTTGAGTGTCACTTCTAACACTACTATTAGTGGTGTGCATTGATGTATTTCCTTTAATTATGTTGAGAGCTTTAATTCAGATAGCGCGGCCATGCTGGAGATGTAGATCACTGCTTCTTGCAGTTTTCTTATATTTATCAGACATGCCTTTTAAATGACATTCACCGTTCAAGAGCAGGCAGGCAGACAGCATTTATCAGCACCTGGCACGTCATCCCTATCATGTAGTTAGATACAATCTAGCCGATCAAACACTGTCTTTATTTCTTAATCCCATTTTATGGCTCGATTATGTGGAGGTATTTCTGACTATAATTTCTTGGTCTTAGGGGAAAATTACAAGGTTGAGAAGCCCAGCAGGTTAAATGGCTCAATCCGTAGTGATGCTTGTTTATAGCACTAGTTGGTACCCAAACCTCAGACATTACTGGCGCAGTGTGGCACTGTGCCATCCGACTGTAACTGGCATTTTCCCAAAGAATTGAGATCTGGGGAGACTGCAATGAGAAGGTTTGGGTCAGCTGGCCACTCGCCACAGTACGTGTTGATGTATTTACCCGCTCGGTTTTAAATTTAAATTCGAATTCGGCCCAAAATCAGTACTATGGAAGGACTAACTTGCGTAAGCAACCAGGAAAGTAATTAACCTGTGTTATGTGCAGTTGAGATCTCTTGAGTCAAGCTGTCGGAATGAAACGGACCGCCGACTGAAAAAAAAAAGGATTGAAAAGAATCTTTTAACAGGCGCACATTCTCGTGATGGAGACATGCCTTGTGTTCAGAGACTAATCAGAATCTCCTTCAAGATGTGGGCACCTGTCCTCCTGGAGGGAGCCTGGTGAGAGGCGGGATCAGAATTTAAGACACGGAGATTGATTATCTGTGCCCACCGGTGTGGCAGGAGTAGCCGAAGGCTCTCCTCGTGTTTGTAAACTTCTCAGATGTACTTATAGTACGTCCTTATGCCATTAGGGCTGTGCAAGAGCTGTGGTCTTATTAGGTGAGAAGGGAAGGGTGTGACTGAAGGAAGGGCTTATGCCGTATAAGAGGGAGATTCTCAAACTAGTCTGAGCAGTACTTCCATACTGTGAATCATTAACGTTCAATGGTGTAGCCCTCTGTCCTCCATCCTCACTGTCCCTTCCTCTCCTTTGCATTACCTTGGAATATATTTCATATATTGGAAGTATGAAATCAACTTCATTGATTGACCCCCCACCCCCATATCCCAGATTAGCTTTCAAGATACTAAATCTATACTAACCTCCATCTTCCAAAGACGTGCAAGCTGATGTCATTAGTAAATCTCTAAGTTGTCCCTGTGTACTTGTATGTCTTTGTGCATACACCCCGCCTCGTGCTTTGCACTTGCCTTTCTAACAATGGATGCATGTGGGGATGAACCTGTATGCAGATGCCTTCACTATTGTATTCCTCCTTGTATGCTAGGAGTGTGTCTGTGCGACATTTCACAAGTGCAGCAGCAAGCACTGTGTAAAGTGTATAATTCATGCTGACCTAACATAATGTCCCTATGCAGAGCCACATTGTCCTTGTTTTAGTTTTAAACAATGATGCTTGTCTTGTCTTTGTTGCCATCTTGTGCAGCGATTACATCACACTCTCATGTTGCACGGCCAGCTACCAGCTGCTGATCTGTGTCGGTGCTGCTTCAGTTCAGTATTTGCATCTTATCAGGGGGCTCTTTTACAGTTCATCCTCCACCAGATTACCATCAAGATATTCAAACTAGAAACTAGCTAACATAATAGGAGTCCCCCCACTGAATAACGCTGAGCAGTCTGACTATTTGGAAAGATTTGCAGCTCAGCCTCATCCTGTTCTTCCAGCGGGCTCTCCAGTTGAGGGTGTGATGAGGGCAGTGGTGTGTGGGATTGAACTGCATGGTCCAGAGGTTTCCATGCTTTTCAAAAGAATTGAGATCTGGGGATTGTCCTGGCCCAAGAACATGATGACAGTCTGTCTCATGGTCCCCAAGATAACCACACAGGTTGCTGAGGGTCTTTTCATTTGACAGAGAGTGCCTAATATTTTAAACCGAGACTATTAACTCCCTAGTAGGATGCTGATTTTGCTCATCCGCACTACACAGGAAAGGAGGCAGTGAGGAATTATACCAAGTAGATCTTACCATTGCATATTGTATGTGGTGTCTGACTGCCACTCATTTAGCCCAAGAATGTCCTTTAGAGATTTAATTTCTTCAATCTGTCTGACAGGTTAGAGGAACTTAATCTCTTCGGTCTAAAAAAGGGAGATTTAATATAAAATCCTAAGGGGTAGAATAGGGTCAAACAAGGACACATCAGACTCAGCAGCGAAACAAGGACACTAACATCTTAACCCTCATTTGAAATCTCTTAAGAAACCACTGTCTTTCCAAAAGGAATTTCTACTGCTTGTAATTATTTCTTCCAGTAAGCTCAGTTCCCAAAGAAATTTGATAACTGACGTCTGCTGCGCAAACCCCTCTCTTATTTTCTCTCAAAAATTCAGAATTCATTTAAGATGTACTGGCAGGATTTGAGTGCAAATGTTTTTCTCCCTCTTCCTGCCTGAAATGAGGGACATTTAACCACAAATCTGCTTATTGGAACTTGATGGTTTGGCTTAGTTAATAAAAGCGTAATTAATTTCTGCTCTCAAAATAGGAAGTCATATGATTTCCACATAGTTGTACAGACCCTTTCACAACCTCCTTATTAGGGGAGAGTCAATTGAACTAAACTGGGACTGACATTGAAACAGATTGCAACAAGATGAAACACAATTTTTACCAGTGAACAGGGCTTTTTAAATACCACAAGACCACAATTCACTCCTCATTTGAATTTGGAAATCTGTACTTTTTGCAGCACATTTATCTTTGCTTTGGTTTGGATTTGCTTTAGTTTGGATTTGGTTTGATGTTTCTGGTCCAAAAGTAAAATACCACGAAATACAAGTATTAATAACATTTTCCATGGAATTACTAGGTATTTGAGCTTTTAGACTGGATAGCCCCTGGCCAAACATATCTGACAGAATGACAGACCAAATTTCAGGATGTTAGGTAGCTCAGCAGAATCCAGCAATTTTCAATACAACTAGGCGAATGTATGTGGGCTCAAAGCATATCACTGTTTATTCTGGAATTGTCTCTCAGTTCATCATGCGGGCACATCACTCTGAGAGGGACAGGAAATTGGAAAAAGAGAGACTATATACCAACACATACAGGGAAGCAGAACTAGACAAAAGTAAGACAAAAAATGATGAATGGTTTCAAATAACCTGCAGAAATGGACTGACACAGCGAAGACTGCACTCAAAATTGCAGAGAAGACCTTTGTGAAGTTCAGCCACTTGGCATGTTCCTCTCCCAGGAAAAGAGACCCACTTCAAGTAGATTCAAAACTTCAAGTGGGCAGATCCCTACTGCCATTCAGACTTGGGAACACCACTCGTCAGGAATGATCAGCCTGCACTGGGGTAGTATGTGCAGTCCATTGATCTCAGCATGAACTGCACCCCCAATGACAGCAGCCATCCCCTCTCCACAAAGGACCTGAACTCTGTTGTCCTGAGAAGAATGTCACTACTGTCACAGAAAGAGTTGTACACTTCAGACCCTATTATATTTGTCTCCCCTAAAACTGGTCCAGAATTACGCAACCAGCTCTGGAGTAAAATTTAGGGTTAGAGCTCATTGTAGGGTTGTGGTTAAGGTTGATCTTGGGAGCACAGATCTGAGCTCTTCATATCAGGTTCCAGAGAGACCAGCTGATTTCATACAGTAGGTACATAACAAATCCTCAAATTTTAAAGACCTAGACCAATTGGACTTATTAACTGTGATCAGTCATAGGAGATTCTGTATATCACAGTAAGTCACTTAGAGATTGTTTGGGCCAAAAAACAGATCATTCTTCAATCCTCAAGGATCATTGTTCTCTTAACTAAACAAATTATAGGCTTTATTTGTCATTTCCACGTGCTCCTAATCTTCAAATCCAGACCCCACAAATCTGCAAATACCCCATGAAACCACTGATGGCCCTGGAGTTTTGTCATTTGTACCATGGTCATAGTTTTGTTTTGTTTTTAATCCCAGGCTCTGAGCTCCCTGTTTGTTAATATAGGACTTCTTTTTAGATTTTACTCAAAGCTGTTTAAGGCTGTCAAGTGCTTTTCTATTTTAGTTGGAAGAATACTGTTTGCAGTTCGATATTCAGTTCGTACTGTACTTTAGTTCATCAAGTCTGTGAGGAACGCCCAACGCTCACAGACAAAAATGCCGGAAATGCCGCTTTTAAAAAAAAAATACATGCATTTTTCTATTTATAGACGAGCTATTGCATAATACAGTAGCTCAACTTCTGAACACACTCCGCTGTTTCACTTTAAGAGCTGCAGCTGCCGAGCTCGCATTGACGTCAACAGGCCAGGTCTCTGAGCAGATTTGAGAACAGGACAACACACTGCGGAGAAGCGCTCGGCGGCCGGTCAGTCAAGCATCGTTACAGTCTGGGCAGACGGGCGGGCGGGCGACTCCAGGTCGGAGCAGCGTCTGTAACCGAAGCGCTGAAGCACGCAGCGTTTGACCATTTGAACCAGAAAGGGGGTCTTGCGCGTTTGCAGGAGCGCTGCAGAATAGAAAACCTGCGTATTGTTTTAGGGGGTAAGTTTTTTTTTCTTACTAATGTAACCTATCTGTTTGGGCACATTTTGTTCTGAGAAGGGATCAGTTATTTCTACATTCTTATTGATTTTTTTTTTTCGTGAACAATGTGAGGGATAGATTGCATCCTTTCTCTTCCCTGGATGATCACATTGACTCGGGCACTGCAGTTGCTGATAACGAAGTTTTCAATGCTAGTGCGTGATGGTGGGATATTATTAATTGACTATCAGGACGTACAGTCCAGTTTCGCGCCCGGGAGAATCGCCATAATAGCTAAGTGTCGTTTAACAACACAATGAGGTTATTGTTAGTAAGAATAGTAGCTGGATGTTCAGAAAATGTACTGGCGGAACCGTCCCTTCAGCGCTACAGTCAACAACGCAGGTACCTCTCCCAGTAGAGGACAAGCGTGTCCTCAGAGACATTCACACACATAGGAGGAGCAGAGTGCTGTACTTCAGTGTGCCTGCACACTTTAAAGCGCTCCGATTTCTGTCTTCCATGCCGAAATCACCTTCACCCGTGCATCACTTTCTTCGTCCCCTATGATAGTAAGACTGACAGAAACGTAAACTCGAGTCTTTCACAAACATTGGCATCGTTGGTGCCTTTAACTGTTTGTATTCGCCTCAAGTTCAGTTTTAATCGTGCGAAGCTTACCTGCTCGCCTGCGTGACGAAATGAACTACGCATGCCCTGCAACACAAGACAGTAAATGATAGGGTTAACAGAAACTCCATCCTCATATGAGATTTTAAAATGCACCGACACGTTACACTCAGTGACGGAAAACTTCCTCTATCTCGAATAATACCACTGGGGTGCATTAGTGAAGGAGTTCTCGGTATTGCTAAGCATTCGAAGCTGGTCATTTGCGTGAAAAACATCATTCTTCAGTCACCACGCCTGCCACTCCAAGTTTTGTCTAGTTACTGCAGAAGGAGTCTTGTCAGTTATTTCCCTGACAGGGGGCTTTTTGACAGAAAGCCAAACTCTATGTCCGTCTCCGTTTGTCTCCGTGACTATTGCACTGCAATTCAGAGGCAGAGGGGGTTCACCTGCCTGGAAAGAGATTTGGGGTCCATCCAGTTCAAAACCAGTATGTAAATGCAGTAAATGATGAGAAAACTAGCTGTAATTTTATTGAATGCAAACTGCAAGGCAGAACTAGCTCCTGTATCTTTAGCCCATTAGGTGAAGAGGGCAAACGATATATGTACAATTTCTGGACTCAACATAAAAGATTAATCTTTCTGAACAAAGTGCAATGTGCTGAGAGCAGGACCCAGTAATTCTTAATTCCTTAAGATCTTCCAAGTAATGGAGTCTCCCAGATCAATAAATGCCTATAGGTTTCTGAAAATGAGAGTGGTGGTCTGACTGCTTCCTTTGTTAAGTTCTTATGCCACCAGAAGAGAGCCCTTCGAAAGTGCACCCCGTCTTGTCATTCACCTCTGTTCACGGCACTTTTCTCCCCCATCACAACCTGCACTTTGCCTCATGCTTGAAGCCAGTTAGCAACACACAGCAGGGGCCAGCAGCACCCGAAGGTCAAGTGGCAAATACTTCTCCTCAGACCTGCATGTGCATCCATTACAGTCAGTTTGCAAAGACTTAGTCAGTTTTGAAAAGCCGTATCCCTCAAAGCTTCGTCTTTGTTTCAGCGCAGAAGTTGACTCATCCAGGAGATCTATAAATATTTCCTTGTCTGTATAGCAAATTGTGACGCAGGACATCAACAAAATAGGTAGGAATTCTCTCCCCATTTTTGGAATGTCAAATATGTCGGTTTTTACCCTGCTATAAACAGGGTTGGTTTTGTGGTCAGATAAAAATGACCACAATTGCAATTTTATTGATAAGACTCGGATTAGGTATGTCTTTGTGAAAGTATTTCCCATTGCACAAACTGTGAAGGGAGTGGTGTAGTGGAAGGCAGATCCCACATACTGTACCTTGTGTTGAGTAGGTGTCCTCACCTCCATTTAGACAGAATGGAATAAGATGCACAGCCTTTAGTGAGCACTGTACCTGGTTCAATAGCTATCTTAAAACCTCAAATCGCCTTTTCTGTTGTGTGAGTTACAAGAGGAAATATGAGGTTAGAGGGAAATAAATAGCCAGGAAGTGTGTCAGTACTTAGATTCATACCGAAAAAAAAGTTATGTACCTTAGGACAGAGGTTCCCAGTCCTGATCCTGGAGTCCATAAACCTGGTTTTCATTCCAGCTGAGCTTCATTGAACTTAATTGAAGCCTGAACCTGTTTTATCAAGTTTCTACATAGGGATATTTGGATTTGTTTTCCACTCCTAAGTTTGATTTTATTTTACTTGTGAAATGCAATCAATAAAAGGCAGCCTCAAACACAAATAATCAGTGGTATGTTTGAGGTCCAAGACCGGGACTGGGAACTCCAGTCATAGGAGTTTGCTTGCCCACATTCCCCTACATCATCTCCTATAAAAACTAGCTTTGTAAGCACAGCTCTGTCAGGCTCTGCCTGAGCACCGCCAGGCTGGGGGAGGCTGTAAGCCAGTGAGAGAATTTGGTCACCCTGTAACCTTGCAGGATTGTCAGTGCAGTCAGATCACTAACTCTTCTTGCGGTGAGAACACATCTCAAATCATTTTGCCAGGCCAGGAGTAAACACCTGCAAGATTCGGCTGTAAAACTTGTAAACATCATTGCTGTAGTGGGAGAGAGACTGTATATTCACCCAGGATGGTACAGCTGTGAAATAAGCAGATACATTAAGATGGAGTAGGAACGTGGATACATTTTTGACAGTGCTACTTCTGAGCCTGAGTATCTGCAAGGCCTGCCAAGTGTTTGTTTATTGGGAAAGCAAAATGAGTTTAGTCGTGGAGCTTTTTACTGCTGAATTTGTTTTCTGCAGAGCAAGGTGCGTTGTCTGAAAGCCAAGAATACAGGGGCAGTGTGTATCAGCTGGAAAAAGTAATCTTGTAAGTGCAGTATGTTGAAATACAAATGGGCATTGTGTTGTTGAGCACGTTCCTTTCCCTGATAAGATCAACATACTGAAACAAATGCTTCAAAGGCACGTTTCTTTAGAGGAGGGTAACTAAAGGCCACGAAGATGGTTAAAATTCTCTCTTTTAAAGAAAGAATTGTTTTTTCTTTTAAGCCCACATTTGGCATGTTGTGAAATTAGAACTTTTACGTACTCTGCTGTGATACCTAAATAAATTGTTTGCATCTCATTTTATATGTTATATAAGAGTCACTACATAAAGTCAAAATACATTTTCCTAAATCGGGTTTCTTATCTATCTGTCATTAGGAAAATGCAGGTGTGTGTGAACCTACAATCTTAGCAACATCATAAAGTCTGTGATTAAACACAGTTTAGTATGGACACAGCATGGTACCATTTATTTACATTACTTTAAATTCCCTGGATCAGAGTACCCAGAGTGCTCAATTAACACAATCTTTTTGGTGTCCTTAGCAACCGTACTCACTGTTCCTAATTACTGGACAAAACATTCCATAGTTGATTTTTATTTTTGGATAGCTATTTGAACTTTAAGGAATTGGGACATTTTTATATGTGGAAGGTGAAGAAAAAACCGAAGGACTTTTCTGAGTCAGAAGAGAAACGTATTTAATGGACAGATAACCTTGAAATCAATTCAGAAAAGTATGTGGATGTTGTGTGAGGCTGACTTATTTGTGTCAGCTCAATGCCATGTTTTGTTAAAATGCTTTAATTTTTTGGTTACGATTCCTTAAAAAACAATTTGGAATCCTTATTTATATATAAATTAGAGCATAAGAACTCCTGTTAAGACAGGATTGTGGTTAGGGAACACCTTCATGTTAAGATGCTGTTTTCCCTCTGTAAAAGCAATAGAAACTCTGTAAAAAGTAACACATACCTTACAGCTTCTCTCTAGACTACTTACAGCTGTTCAAAAGGAAATTATGAAATAGCTTATCCCAGTTAGTTTTGACTGTTCTGATCGATACAGTAGCTCTGCATTTTTTCCTCTTTGCAGGTTTCATCTTAAAAGAAGACGCTTAAGCAGCTTAATCTTATAATTATGCAGAAACAGGTCCACTCTTGTGATTTAGTTTCATTTTGATTATTTGACTGTTATAACCAAGAAATACATTTACACATACTATACCTATTAATATTGAGGTTATTGTTTCTGACTGGCATCTTCATGACATTTATAGCACCTGTTAACAGAACTAGAATTCCCAGTGTCATTCTCTTTTAACCCTGTAAAATCAATGGATACCTGACTATCATGCTTCCATTTCTGGTTCACAGCAAGTCATATTCCACAATGAACATTTGTCACAAAACAATAGGTGACCACCTTGTCTTCCGACTAGCCAAAAGGCAACAATGTAATGACAGTGCTGTCTATTCCCACACCTTGTACCTCTCAATTTTGGAATTTTGGCAGTATTTATCTAATTTAATATAGATCTATATGTTTTTGAGTGCCGCAATCCCATTTTCCTCACAGATAAAGAACCTCCATTATATCGAGGTTTGCAACCTAATAAGGTCATCAACTCCTGTGGTTAATGAAGATGGAAATGTTTGCTCCTAATTATGTTTCTTCTTTTCAATTTGGCTCAAGGCTAGAGGCTCAAGCTGCTACAATCCCGACCGGTATGATGCAAACAGACTGCAGATAAACCCAGCTCATACTGTGGCTCTTGCATTTGAAAGTCTGATGAATATTTAAAGAAGAAAATGCTCCCATAGCACCATTACCTCACTGGCTGAAACCTGGCTGATGAATATTTGATGGTGGGAATGCCTGTATGAGGTCATCTGGAATGAGGAAACCCCTTCAGTCCTGGCCAGTCTCCTTGTGCATCTTTTGGAAGAGGAGGGTGTGAGTCACAGTTCACAAGTTTCTCTGCTGTTTCATCAGCCTTGGTAGTGATCTGAAATTAGAAAGAATTAAGGTACAGTAATGTTACTTAATACAAGAAGGTGGTAGGGAGGGG